GAGGGAGGGAGGGAGGGAGGGAGATAGATAGATAGATAGAGATAGATAGATAGATAGATAGATAGATGGATGATATAGGTAGAAAGATAGCTAGATAGACCCAGTCTCAATGCCGACCCCCTCCAAAAAATTATCAAGAGTTCAAAATCACCCTTTTCTATATAGGGCCTTTGAGTCCAGTTTGGAATACAGGAGACCCTATCTCAAGAAGATAAAATCACGCACACAAATAAGAGCCTAAAAGGATGACTTAAAACTTAGCAACTTAACTACTGTACTGCACATAAGAGTTAGGCAATTTAACCACCATCTTTAAGGCCTGCTCCCACCATCTGGGGTCTCTTAGCTCATGGATGCCACGCTGGTTTTGTCCTTACTCCTATTCATCTGACTTTTCTTTCCAGGACTTGGGGCTGCTTCTTTCAACCTGTCTTGTTAGCCATTCCTTTTGCCTGAATACATGTCTCCCTTTCGGCCATGGTCAAAGAAAGACACCCAGTATGCAGATACTGCAGCTACTACCGACCTGGGACTGGACCACTGTTTTTGTTTGGAGAGTCTTGTTACATAGCCTTGAGCTGGCTTTTGTAATCCTTCAGCATCTTGTTTTCCAAGTACTGCACGTACTAGCACATCTGGCTTTGTTTTTTAAAGCAGTTTATATAATATATTGAAGGTGCACGCTTTGGTTTCTGAAGGTGTGTGGACACTGTCTAAATGATAAACATTTTATGTGATCTTGTTCAGTTCTTGTCTTTTTGGTCCTGGTCCTTTTTCACTAGGACCTCCTTGCTGGGTGGGGTCTTCCCATTGAAGTGGGAACATGCTCCACGGCCTGGCCCAGCTGCCCCACTACTCTTTCCCTTTAAGCACATAGCAACCAACGTATCTGTGTGTTTAGTTGTTTCCAACCCAGTTCCTACTACTAGTTACGGAGCTAAGCGCATAGCAACCAATGTATCTGTGTGTTCACTTGTTTCCAACCCAGTTCCTACTGCTAGTTAAGGAGCTCCGTCAGGAAAGGACAGCGTCCGTCTTGCCCAGGCCGGCCCTCTTTGGTGTCTGCCACTCCATTAACACTGGCTCACTAAATACTGTCCCCTAAACAACTTCCATTTCTCTCCATTCTGTGAGTGTTAGTCATATCTGCTTTGCAACCGTGTGTCTCTTTGCCTGCCTCAGTTCAAAACTCAGCCACAGAGAAGACCCACACCACTGCCACACCCTTCCCCTTCTACTCCAGTCTCCTTACACTGAGTTCCTCCACACACTAGGACTTAGGGTCCATCTCAAGCACTATGAGTCATTTTCTGATGCTCAATACTTAACACTCTGCTCTGCACTGACGTTACAACAGTTTACAACTAATCACATGTCTCTTCTATCTTGGCTGGCTCTCATGGCTGGAGTGTGTCAGTATGTAACACATTTCTTTCTCCAGGTGGACACTTGCAAAGAGCAACCCTGGAATGACAGACTAAAGCCACCACTCGCAACTGACCAGATTCTAATGAAGCTGGTGTACACACCAGTAATCTCAACTAGCAGGAGGCTATGGCAGGAGGCAGTTGGGCATATAACTCAACGGTAGAGAAATTTTCTAACATTTCCAAGGCTTTGGGGTCAATCCCCAGCACTGGGGGAAAACTTTCAATGAACTACATGAATGGACTTACTAAAATCTACAATCCCATGTGCTTCTTGGGTAGGAAGCTGCATTATTTCAAGCATTCTATATGAGTCTTGCCCACCATTAATTACTGCACCTTGTAAAGCACAGGATTCCAGAGCCAAGGCTTATTAGTAAGTCTGAGAAATGCAAGGAATTCAAGGCTTGACTCTCTACCCTTCCTTGCTTGGGTTAGATGAATGAAGATGCCAAAGTTCTTAATTTTTTTATTGCCATTTTCTTTTAATTTCTTTTCTGCTTTACCCCTCCTCCCCAGTTACACAGAAAGTCCAGGACAGGACAACTAAACAGGAGACCTCACAAAGCCAAGGCAAGCCAGCCCAAGATCATCAAGCTCCCTCCGACAGGACCCGCGGTCTGGATGCTAGTGTCTCCACTCAGAGCCTGGTAGTAAAAGCTGGTACAGAATAAGGTAGTTCCAGAAGCTAGCAGTAATCCTGCCTGAGAGAAATGGAAAACAGAATACAGTGTTTTAAGAACAAAGCCATATGAGAGAATTAATGGGGTTTGGTCAGAATTAGGCAAAGGGCTGATTACCCAGAGGGGTTTTCTGCAATAGGGCACCCCTAGCAGGGCCAGGCTGTGCAAAAAGTGGTGCTTGTTGGCCTTGTCAAAGAGCTGCAAGGAAAAAAAAGAAAAGAGAGAGTTTTTTTTTTCTAAGCAATACAGAAGCCCAGGAACCTGAAGTGCCACACAGGACCAAAGTCCACTCTCTGCACTTCAAGTCCCAGTTTACTGCTCCCCCAGATCCCCAAGCCACAGGCTTGCAGCCCCTCCCATTCATCTCCTCACCCTCTACTTTCAACATCCCTACCCTCCCCCCCTTTAAAGACGCCCAGATATTGCGCCTGTAGTCCGGGATCCCCAGTGCTGTTACTTCACCTCCTTCCCGTAGGCATCCGGAAATTGGGCGCCTGTGGAGAGAAGCAAAAGTTATCAGATGGGTTTTAGTCTCGACCGTCCCAATCCCCAGGGAACCCACGCAGACACTGGCGAAAAAGGGCATTCCCGAAAGCTTCCGATTGGTGGAAACAGGTGTCGAGTAGCTTTTGGACCCACTGAAAAACTGGACTCCATAAGAGACAGAGCGTTTCCTATAGGTTCCTTCCCGCACCAGACCCCAACGATCGCCCCCAGCCCAGTTGCATCCCACGTCCCCTGACCGTGTGCCCCGTAGGTGGCCAAACCCAAGGCCCCAGCTCCGGACAAGGCACCTAGGCGACGGAAAGCAGCCCCTACCACGGCCATAGCTGTGGGTGGTCACGCGCGGAACCAACACCGCCCTGGCCACCCAAGAAGTCAGCCAATCCAGCTTGCCCATGCAAATAAGGTCCAAAGGTGCCCAATCAGGGCTGTGTTCATTTAGTGTCCCGGTTCCTCCTATATACGCCTTTGTAAAACTTGTGCTGAGTGGAGAAGACGTCTGGCGGGCGGAGAAACTAGAACCAATTAGGAACAGAGGAGCGGAGCAGTGGGAGGCGAGGTTGTGGGCGGGACTAAGGGATTTGCGTCACGGATTGGCCCACTTTCCAAGTTGATCGCCCCTTCGACACCCCAACCCCACACCTCCAGCTAATTTGCAAAGATATCGGTCCCCACACAAAGTTCCGCCCCTTTTCCCTCAGGCTCCTCCCGTTCAGCTTCAAACCAGACCCACTCCTCAAAAGGGGCGGCTCCACGGATTTCTAAGCACCACCTATTGCCATTAAACACCTCCCACTTCACGGATGGCCCCTCCTCTGTGCCTGGAGGCCCCGCCTTCTTGTGTGATGCCCTTCCCTCTATATTTCAGATTTTCTCTCCCCCCCCCCCCTTGCTAGACCCGGAAAGCCCCGAGGGTGGGAGATCCGGGGAGAATGTCTTCACCCTGCCATAGCCCGCTACGTCCATCCGTCCGTCTGTCCACTCCCACCCGCTTCACTGTCTTCAATCCCCCCCACACTCTAGAGGGCGGGTGGGCAGGCGGGTGCGAGCGAGGGGTGTGCGCCGCTCTCTCGGCAGGGGGCGGGGGAGGCGGCCGCGCGGTGACGCGCGGGGCTGCTGCGGCTGCTCCGCCGGCGGATCATCACTCTCGGGCTGGGATGGACGCGGGGCGGGCGGGCCCTGGCGCGCAGAGCCAGGAATCCGGGCCTCCTGGATACTGAGCATTCCCCAAAGCCTCCCCCAGCCCTTGCCTTCCTTCCTAGGAGCCGCACCGACCTCTGCCTCGAGGCTCCGGACTCGGCCCCCGCCCTCTTCTGACTCCCCGGATCTCCCTCTCCCGCCCGCCCTCGGGATCGACTAGATCCCTCCCCCTCCCCGAGGATTCCGGCTGGATCCCTGCCCCTGCACCGCGGATTCTGCGCTCCGGGCCCCGGGCCCCTGGGGATTGCTGTGGACTCCTCCTCCAGCGCTCGATCCCTTAGGATCTTCCGCCTGTACCGCCTCCTGGTCCCTCGAAGCCGGCCCAGAGAGCCAGTGGATCTTCAATCTAGCCCTGTCCCGTTGCTCCCTCCTGGCTCAACCTTCCCCACTGCGGGGTTCCCTGTTCTTGAGCTCTCTCTGACCCTATACCCTAGCTTTCCTTTTCCTGGGGATCGACTGGATCCCGGCCCCGCCCCCCGGGGCTGGGGCGATCCCCCTCCCCCGCCGGGTGAGGCGCTGCAGGCGGGGGCTGGGCCTGCGGGGCCGCGGGGGCTCAGAGGCCGCCGCCCCCCTTCTGAAGCCCGTCAGCCCCCGACTCGGAGCCCTGGATGGAGGCACCACGGCCCCAGGGCTGATCCAGGTAGGAGCTAAGCCAGGCTGGGTGGAGGGGGCTGCGCGGTGGTCCGTTGGGGTCTTCCTCCTCCCATATTCCTCCCTGCGCCTGGTTTCCCCCAGCCTGCTCTGTCTGCGTGTCTCCGCCTAGGGATGCTCTCGCCGTGTCTCTGCGTCTTGGTCTCTTTGTCTCTGCCTCTCTCCAGTCCATGAATGATCCTTTGAATGGGCCCACAGACCCCGTGTGTTCCCATCTCCCCCTCCCCCTCCTTCTCCCCTTCCCGGCCAAGCCATTTTCCCCACTGCAGGAAGGGGGGGGGGGCTGCGGCCTGAGCCCCCGTCCCTCAACTCTCCTCGGTTGGGGGAGTCAGGCCTGGGCTGGAATGGAAGAGCAAAGCAGAGGGATCCGGAGGAGGGGGAGCAAGATGTAGCAGAGATGGAGAGAGAAAATGGGGGAGAGAGAAATAGAGAAAGGAGAGAGAGAGAGAGAGAGAGAGAGAGAGAGCGAGCACTTGAGGGAGAAAATCAGAGAAGGTATTTGGAGGAGAGAGCGATGAGAAACACCAAGGAGACAGAAATGAGAAAAGACCGAGAGGTGAGAGACTGAAGGCAAGAGCTGGAGCAAGCCGGTTAAGCCTAGAAAAGATGCTCTTAGGGACCCTGTGCAGAGGAGAAAGATGGTGGGAGGGCTCTAGTGGGAGGGAAGAGAGAAAAGCTTGTTGGAGGAGAGGAGGCAAGGGGCCCAAAGTACCTTAAGGTGACTGAGGCAGGCCATGTTGGGAAGAGGGAGGAGGGACAGCAAGGCCCAGCCTGGCATAGGAAGAGAAGATGGGGTGGGGGGAGTCCACTCCAAACCCCCTTCAGGTGATGGGAGAACAGAAGCCTAAAAGGGCCTGAAAAGGGGGAGGGCATGACTGGGTGTGAGTGGTGAGGACTCCTGTGTCCCCATCTCTAGAATAAATTGACACCTGCAGAGAGCCACCCGCGGGCTGGCGCCTGGCTCTGAAAAACCCGGCGTCAGCAAACAGCCCTGGAGACTGGGGGGGGGGGTGCTAAAAGGGGGGGCTTGCTGAAATCACCTGGGTGTCTGCCCCTTCTACCTCTTCAGTGGTCCTGCCCCTGCTGCCTTGATCATCCAGGCTGGCAAGGGGAAGGGGAGGGAGGGCTAATGGAAGGGATGAGAAGAAACCTGAGGTCAAGATGCAGAGCAGAGCAACCCCAGATGGGGTCTAAGGCTGTAGAGATGATGTGAGGGGTAAGCCAGTAGGCTTATCTGAGAAGCCCACCTCAGCACAGCTCCTGTCCCCTCACCTGCCAGAGACCTGGACAGTAGGGTTAGGCTCTGATTGGCTAAGTGGGATGGGGGGGGGCATCTCTTTTAGGATTCTCTGTTCTAGACTACCCTTCCCCTAATATATACTTCCTCTCTGCTAAGATTAGCTGGATTAGCATTGTGGCTCATGCCTCTGCCCTCCCTCTCATGGCCTGAATGGACCCTTCAACCAAGCAAGCCCCTTCCCCTCTTCCTCTAGACCACCCCCCTCCAGGGTTAAAGCTGCAGCCCGTTGCCGAGGTAACATTGCGGGGCAGCATCCTGTCGCCCAGCAACCGGCTGCAGGATCATGCATCTGTCCCTGGATTTGCCCCTTCAGCATCCCCTCCTCACTTTAACCCCGGCTTTGGGCACCCCAACTTTTAAGGGAAGACATGGAAGGGCCTGAGGAGAAAGGGCTTTCCAAGTGCACAGGTCTTTAGGGAATGATGGGGACAGAAAGCACTGGGGTTTGTAGTTCTAGAAGGCCCAGCGTCTGGCCTGGGGTGGGGGTTCAGCGCCATGAAATTACAGCTCAGGAGTAATTAACACGTATAAACAAACCCGCCACTTCCTGCTAATTAATGACTTGGTATTTTTATTTTCTCTTCCTTGTCTGTCTCATTGTCTCCCAGGGAAGTGGGGACTGGGACGCCTGAGTCCCTAGGGGGAGCCTGCCTGGGAGGGATAGAGGCAGGAAAGAGGCACTCTGAATCTGGGAAGCTGAAGCTCCCTCCTCGGACCCTGCCCTGAACATTTATTTACCATATCTGACTCCACCCCAAACTTGGGTCTCTGCGGAGGGGAAGAGGACAGTTGGGGGAAGGGGGTAGGTGTTAGGGGGTCTGTGGGTGGAAGAAAGGGGCTGCTTGATCTGAAATGCAAGCCACTAACCACTTGTCTCTTGTTTCCCCATCCTTTCTGTCCTCCCCATCCAATTTCCCTTCCCTTCTTCACCTCTCTGTATTTTTCTGTCTGTTTGTCTGTCTGTATCTTGCATACCCTATGCGGGTCCCCTGTCCTCTCCCGTCACCGGGCAGGTCGGGCCTGCCTGTACCTTCTTCTACCTTCTTCCCCTTCCCCACCCCTTACCCCCTCCATGGAGAGAAATAGACTCCTCTTCTGTCCCTTCTAACCCAGGTCCCTACCCGTCCCCCTCCTCCTTCCTTTCCCCGCCCCCTCCTCCCTCCTGGGGCGAGGGGGGCCTCCCTCCCTCTCCCCCCCTTCTCTCTCTCTCCGAGGGGGGGGATCAGGGGAGGGAGGGGGGGTCCCCCAATCAGCATGTGGCTCCTGGCGTTGTGTCTGGTGGGGCTGGCTGGGGCTCAACGGGGAGGAGGGGGTCCCGGCGGCGGCGCCCCAGGCGGCCCAGGCCTGGGCCTCGGCAGCCTCGGGGAGGAGCGCTTCCCGGTGGTGAACACAGCCTACGGGCGAGTGCGCGGTGTGCGGCGCGAGCTCAACAACGAGATCCTGGGTCCGGTCGTGCAGTTCTTGGGCGTGCCCTACGCCACGCCGCCCTTGGGCGCCCGCCGCTTCCAGCCGCCTGAGGCACCGGCCTCGTGGCCCGGCGTGCGCAACGCCACCACCCTGCCGCCCGCCTGCCCGCAGAACCTGCACGGGGCCCTGCCGGCCATCATGCTGCCTGTGTGGTTCACCGACAACTTGGAGGCGGCTGCCACCTACGTGCAGAACCAGAGCGAGGACTGCCTGTACCTCAACCTCTACGTGCCCACTGAGGACGGTAAGGGCACGGGCACAAGGCCGGGCACCCTGTGGACACAGCCCACAAACGCACAAGCAGACCCTCAAGCACAGGACCGACTCCTGCCCCTAAGCTGTGCCTTGATGGGCAGCAAGGGGCAGTGTGTCCCTACAAGTCACTGCGCATCCTCCCAGGTAAGGGTGTCTGCTTATCAGGCAGCCCTAGGAGCACCCTATAAGTAGCCTCTTCCACAGCACAAACTCTTGGTGCCCTAGAAGGAAGGCTAGCTGGCATTAGGACAGGCTCACCCATCCTCTCCCCAAAGGGGCACACAGATATTTACTCTCGATGTTGGTGGCTGGTGTTCAGGTGACGGATGTCTCCATGGCTGGCTCAGCCACTCCAGCTTTGCCGCCATCTCCTGCCTTCCTCCCACTTAGCTACATCCACAGTTTAGTTCCAGACATACCACTTAGAGTCCCCATCCTCAGGCCCATCTGCTCTGACTTCTATCATATGGCACCTCACAGTCTTTTACCTGAGTTGAGTGCCCTTGTCAGTGGTACTCGGTGACTCCTTATGGGAGATTTCTGTCCTCTATCCAGAAATCCCTACACAGCCCTGAAGGGTCAGGGAAGCTTCCGCTCACAGCACAGTAACCCATCAGGACATTTTCCTTGGGGTTGGGATGCTATTCTTGTGAATGAGTTCCTGTTCACTGCATGACAGAGCTTGCTCCCCTGTAGCTCTCCACTCACCGAGATTAATCAGAACCTCTTCTACTGTCTGCAACAGATCCCAGCTACAAGGGGGGGGGGGGGACAGCATCACAAACAGCCCCCGCATTACCCTTCTGACATACAATCTCACCACTCCAAAACATTCTAACACCTCCACAGAGCAGACTGCTGCGTGCTTCCTCCGTCTACTGTTTCCAGTAACTTTACACCCAGGCCTGGCAACCAGGAGCCCCTAAAGAGCCCCATAGCTCCGCACTGTGTGCTAAAGTTATGCAGTCACTGAGTCTCGACTGCTAAAAATGACCATTTGCCCAGCTGACCGTGTATTCCAGTCTCTTTTTTTAAAAGATTTTATTTAACTTTATGTACATTGGCATTCTGTCTGCATTCATGTCTGCATGAGATGCTTGAAAACAGTTGTGAGCTGCTATTTGGGTGCTGGGATTTGAACCGGGGTCCTCTGGAAGAGCAACCAGTGCTCTTAACCACTGAGCCATCTCTTCAGCCCTGTGTTCCAATTTTATAGCTCTCATCCCCTTCACAGAGTGCACATGCCCACTGCTTCCCTAAAGTGGTGTTCCCGTTACTCTCATAGACTCCAGTGTCCATGGATGCAAATTGTGCGCTCTGGTAATGGCCACGTGTGCACGCTATACCACATAACCCTGCACACAGACTGTTGTTGACTTACTCCATCTCCTCCCTGGAGTTCACTCTTCTGAAAGCTTCAGTACTAACAGCTTCCAGCTTGCACCAAGATTCCCCTGTGCCAATCACAGAATGACACGCAGACTTTAACCTACCCATGTCCACACTAGTATCTCTCATATGGACCAACTACTGCCGTTCGTCCCAGCCCTGCATACTAGCTAACTGCTCCTCCCCTGTAAAACCATGACTTCTAACAATCTGTCCACAAGATTTGTCTGCCCTTCCACAGACCACCTATCCCAGCATCTTTCCACTTCTGAGTCCTTCACCCTAACGTCTCCCATAGACGCCCTCTCACCTTTTCTATTCATTGATGCTCCATTGCCACGTGTGTGTGCACATGTGTGCAAGTGGTTCTTTTGTGACTCTCCACTGCCATGCGTGTGTGCATGCAAGTGGTTCTTTTTGAGAAAGGGTCTCACTCTGTAACCTAGCCTGGCCTAGAACTCACCATGAAGTCCAGGCTGGCCTTGAACTTTTGGTAATCTTGCTTTACCCTCCTGAGTGCTGAGTTTCCAGACATGAGCCACCATGGCCAGTAACGCCCACACTTTCACATAGGTGACCCACGCATGTCTCCCTCCTGGGAGCTTTCTTGTCCCTCCTGTATGAAACCCCTAACGCTACTTACCGCTGGACTAGCCACTCCATCGCCATACAAACTGTCTCTTCCCTGCCTCCATACCGCTCATTCCCACACCTTCTGTATTTTTAACCGTTGCATATTGCAGACCTGATTGGGGCCTGACACATTCAGGTGATCTCACTGAATCTTCACACCTGCTCTAGGAGGAAGTGGTTCGAACGCGCGCGCACAGACACACACACACACACACACACACACACACACACACACACACACACCACAGCCTCATGGTCATGAATACCTGCTGACTTCATCCCTATCCATATCCTCTCACAACAAAGGCCCTGTTTCCAAGTGCATTATCTTGTCAGTTAGTGCTAGCTTGAACCTTGTTGGCCCGTTCCTCCTTGAGCCCGGGGAACTTCCTGAGACCCGTCAGAGATCCAGTACTCCCCCTACCAATCCCCCAATCCAGAAGCAGTCTGACATGAGGCTCTGGGATATTAGGACCACTCTGTCTCCCGGGACAACACCTACTTTATGTGTCAGACTAGCCCAAGGCACTGTTTGCTATATGCTGTTGGCAGAAGGAATACCCTAAGTGGGAGGAGGGCTCTTTAGCAGTGGACCTAGGGCAGAGCTGCTGATCCTATGGAAAAATCACAATTTGGTGGGGAGGAGAAGAGGCCGGGGCCAGGGGTGAGGTTGGTGGGAGTGTGGAGGGGTAAGCTGGAGTGGAGGGCAAGACCTGATGACCCCTTTCCCTGCTTTGCCCACATGGGGGAACTGGGACGGGACGAGAAGCCAGGCCCGTGAGTATGGATGGAAGAGAGATGCTGGCGGGTGAGGCTGGGCAGGTGGGCAGGTGGGCAGCCCTAGCTAACCTACCATAGCCCTTCAGCTGGCAGCAGAGGGCTTCTGGAGGCAAGGAACCACAGAATGGTCGGCCCCTAGCCCATCTCACCTTCTGACCTCCAGAACAGCACAGAGAAGCAGGGTCCTTTGAGCGCAGCCTCTTCTTACAGCCCGAAGTGGGCAGCCCGTAGTACGTGGCTGGCCCTGCAAGGAGCCTGCGTGAAAGATGGCCTTGGTGCCAAGCCAGCCTTGGTGTCCCTAGGCCCCCTCCACCCCATCCCTAACACAATTTCATTTCCAGCAAGTAGCAAACACACCAAAAAGCCAAATCCCTTCCAGTTCAGCCCTGTGTCTCAAGACAGCCTCAGCCCACTCAGGCTCCCACCCCCAGACCCACCTTTTCTTTGGGGCATGACTTTTTCTGGGGAGGGGAAATTGGGTTATAGAAACGTTTTTCTCTTTTCTTGATTTCTTTTTCTTGCAAACAAATTTTGCTTTTTTTGGCTTATTTTTTCTGCCTCTCCCCACCCTCCCCTTTTCTGCTCTCTCTCCCCCCCTCCCCATCTACCACCTCCCTTGACCCCATCTTTCCCCACAAAATTGTCCTTTTTTCTCTGTTTTGTGTTCCCGGTCTTAGGTCCGCTCACAAAAAAACGTGACGAGGCGACGCTCAATCCGCCAGACACAGGTAGATTTAAAAATCCCGCTGATGCATGTGGTTGCTTTGAAGAGGACTTTGATGGCCCTGCCCCTAACTAAATGTCCCTGTAGCCCCCGAGGCCCCTCAGTCGTTCTCCCGACTAAAAATGAAAAAGAAAAGAAAAAATTTTAACAATTGGAAAAAAGAATTATGAAAACTTCAAACAAAATGTGAACAATGTTAGACCCACTAGTTAACCTTGGAGACAAGCGTGAGGTGGAAAATGGAAAGCAATTGGATTGCCAGGAAAAAAACTGGACAAAATGTTGAGAGTTTGAAAGAAATCTGGACTGCTTTGCAACATGTGGACTGCACCATTTGAAAAAAAAAAGCTTTAATTTGAAGCAAAATAATATTTGAAAAAATTGACAAATTAATGACTTTAATCAAAACATCAGAAGCCTGCTACGATTTCTAACCAAAAGCCTGTCAGACTTTAAAAGTGTAAGCATCTGAAGCGAATCAAAGAATTTGGAAATTTTTAAAAACAGGGCCCAATATCTTGAAGTTTCACCACAAAATTTTGAAATAATGCAAAGAAATTTTTTTCTTGTTTTCTTTTTTTCCCAAATGGAGCTTTTTGTTTTTTCTTTTCTTGTTGAATCTGCCCCAAGAGCTTCTTGCTTTTTTTGTTGTTTTTTTCTTTCTTCTTTCTTGCTCCTGGTTTTTGTTGGTGGTTTTGAATTCTTGTTGCCCCTGCCCCTCTTCCTGCTCCTTCCCATCTAACTCCCTCCCCCCACACCGGGAGAGGGCTCGCGGGGAGGGGGGAGAGAATGAAGACATTTAGGACAGGACCCTGGAAGGAAGGACATTGTCACCTGAGAGTTAGGGCTGGAAGTAATAGCAGGATCTTGTGGGTGAACACAGAGAACTCTGGCTCAAGAAGTCCAGAGACAGTCTCCAAGCAGAAGCAGAAAGCCAGCCTGCAGAGTTGGAAAGGGCATGTCCTATGACTTGCAGGTTGACCTTCTGGCAGGGCGAGGGTGTTGGCACAGGTGCTGGCTACCAGCTGGAGGGGCCCAAGCCTGGCTCCCATGGGCAGGAGTTAAGCAAGAGCTCTGCCGCTGAGCTGGAACCCACCAAGCATGCTGAGTTCGAAGAGAGCTGGAGTTGACCCCAGCCTGGGGACTGAAATCAGGGTAGCAGCGGGGAAGCAGGTTGTAGGCTTGAGGGCCCTGACAGGCCCTCCTAGACTCCCACACCCTCTCTAGGAATTTTCATTTCTTAGTCCAGTCCAGAGCCTCCTGGCCTCCTGCACGTGGCAGCTGTGTAGAAGATTCCTTGAGAGGATGGCAAGAGGGCTTCCGGGCAGGAAAGGCCAGTTCGGAGGGCGGGGAGTCCAACAGTCAGCTTTACTCTGACTTCATTAAGCAGGCTCTTTCCCACACTGCCTCCTCCTGCCACAGTAATTAGGCTGGGGGTTGCCATGGTAACTGGGGAGGTGACCTAGAAAGGAATTAGGGCGGGGAGGAGACCAAGCCCCAGGGACCCTAGGGCCTGGCACCCCTCACCCACAGACTAGGGTGCCATGTGGAGCTGAGGCCCAAGCCTGAGTTTGAGGAGATGCCAGGACCCTCTGAGCACCGCCAGCCTAGTCCCAGCCTTAGTTCACTCTTCCCAGGAGCAGGAAGGAGTTTTGCTGTGTGTGTGGAGGGGTCCCTGGCTTCAGGAGAAGCCCCTTCCTACCCTTAGCCTCTGTTGGGCTTCTTGGAAAGTGTGCCCAACGTTTGAAGTGTTTGGAGTCATGCTGGCCAATGATGAAGAGGGACCTTCCTCTAGGGTTAGCTGGGGAGGGAGGGAGGGGAATCCGGTCTTGCCCCCCCGCCAGGGATGGTAGTGAGAAGTCCCCTGAGCTCCAGGCTGGTCCTCAGAAGGCCTGGGAGCTCGAAGTGCTACTTCTGGTCTGACTGTGTCCTTGTCCCCGATCTTCTGGCCCACCTGCCATCCCCTTCCCACACAGATATCCGGGATTCTGGGAAGAAACCAGTGATGCTGTTTCTACATGGCGGCTCCTACATGGAGGGCACTGGGAACATGTTCGACGGCTCAGTCCTGGCTGCCTATGGCAATGTCATCGTAGCCACGCTCAACTACCGTCTTGGGGTGCTCGGTGAGGGTGGGCAGCCAATTCTTGGGGGGCAGTCCTGGTGGGCCTGATCCTCCCATGTACAGCCTTATAGCCTTAGAGCAAATCAAGCTCCCTACAGAGGGGGCAAGGAAGCTGTGACGCCTCCAGGGAGCCCCCTTCTTCTACCCCTAGGTTTTCTCAGCACTGGTGACCAGGCTGCAAAAGGCAACTATGGGCTCCTGGACCAGATCCAGGCCCTGCGCTGGCTCAGTGAAAACATTGCCCACTTTGGAGGTGACCCTGAGCGCATCACCATCTTTGGGTCTGGTGCGGGGGCCTCCTGTGTCAACCTGCTGATCCTCTCCCACCATTCAGAAGGTACCAGCAACCTCTTCGCCTGCCTTCCCTTCCCCCGGTCCCTACCGAGCCTCTCCTTTTGGCTGTGACGGCCTAGCCTGAGGTCTGCCTGTCCCACCAGGACTGTTCCAGAAGGCCATTGCTCAGAGTGGCACCGCCATTTCCAGCTGGTCTGTCAACTATCAGCCGCTCAAGTACACGCGGCTGCTGGCAGCTAAAGTGGGCTGTGACCGGGAGGACAGCACCGAGGCTGTGGAGTGTCTACGCCGGAAGTCTTCCCGAGAGCTAGTGGACCAGGATGTACAGCCTGCCCGGTATGGGGATGGGAGATGGCTGGGTCCAGTTCTTTACATTCCTAGCTGATTCTAAGGAGGTGTGGTGAGAGGTTATTGGGAAAGGAGAAGGGGCTTCAGGCCCTCCTAGTGGCTACACCTTAAGTGAAAGTCACCTCATTCCATAGATCAAACACAGGGTTTCACCGAAGGCTTTCAGTGGGTGTTCAGAGAAGCCAAAATGCCCTGAAGAACTCTAGGAGTCTTCCAGTCATGGAGAAGGGTCTTTTAGGCAAAGGGGTGGCTTAGGAGGCCATGGGTCCAGAGAGGCCAGCAACTGGATGGTGAGACCTTGCCCCCTTCTCCCCAGCTACCACATTGCCTTTGGGCCTGTGGTGGACGGCGACGTAGTCCCTGATGACCCCGAGATCCTCATGCAACAGGGAGAATTCCTCAACTATGACATGCTCATCGGTGTCAACCAGGGAGAGGGCCTCAAGTTCGTGGAGGACTCTGCAGAGAGTGAGGATGGCGTGTCTGCCAGCGCCTTTGACTTCACCGTCTCCAACTTTGTGGACAACTTGTACGGGTACCCAGAGGGCAAGGACGTGCTTCGAGAGACCATTAAGTTCATGTATACGGACTGGGCTGACCGGGACAATGGCGAGATGCGGCGGAAGACCCTGCTGGCACTCTTTACTGACCATCAGTGGGTAGCCCCAGCTGTGGCCACTGCCAAGCTGCATGCCGACTACCAATCCCCTGTCTACTTTTACACCTTTTACCACCACTGCCAGGCTGAAGGCCGGCCAGAGTGGGCTGATGCCGCGCACGGGGATGAGCTCCCCTACGTCTTTGGTGTGCCCATGGTGGGCGCCACTGATCTTTTCCCCTGCAACTTCTCCAAGAATGACGTCATGCTCAGCGCAGTGGTCATGACCTACTGGACCAACTTCGCCAAGACCGGGTGAGGGCCCGAGGGCCTAGCGGGGCTGGGCGGGGCTGGGCAGGGCACCCCATAGGCTGAGGTCCCCTTGCCTTGGCTCTCCCAACACTTGGGTTCGGGCCCTGAGAGTCGGAGTCACTGGTGTTGGAAAGATTTCTGTCTTTTCTGAGGGTGAACTTTCTAGGTGGCTCTGTTGTGACCGCTGTCCGACCGCCTTGGTCTGTCTGTCACTGTGTCTCTGTCTCTTTGCCCTCCTTGGCTTTTGTGTCTTGGCTGCTCTCACCAACACTGTCTTCCTGTCCCTGGTTGTCTCTCACGTGCCTTTGTCTCCATTTCTGTCCCTCAGACTCAGCTTTTGTCACTGGATCACTTTTCTAACTTCATCTCTGTCTCTGTGGTCTGTCTTAGTAAGTTTTGGTTTGTCTGCCTGTTTCTCCCCCGCCCCACCCCGTGTGTGTGTGTGTGTGTGTGTGTGTGTGTGTGTGTCTTTTCTTTCCTCTCCCCGCTCTGTCTGTCTGTCTGTGTCTCTCTTATCCTCTGTCTCTCTCTGTGTCTCCTCTCTCCTCTCCCCATCAATCTGTCTCTGGTAAGATCCCACCATTAACAGCCGGGCGGTGGTGGCGCACGCCTTTAATCCCAGCACTTGGGAGGCAGAGGCAGGCAGATCTTTGTGAGTTCGAGGCCAGCCTGCTCTACAAGAGCTAGTTCCAGGACAAGCTCCAAAGCTACAGTGAAACTATCTCGAAAAATAAACACAAACAAACAAATCTTCACTCTTTAACCCAGGTCAAGCCTTGAATCTTTCCCTCAAGTGCTGGGATTGCAGGCCTGTACCATCACATCCAGCCTTTTCTAGATCTCTGAATCTCTGACTTCTCCCCACTCCTGCTGCTCCACCCTCCTCAGGAGCCCCACCCTCACTCCTTTCCTTGTCCTCATGTGCCCACAGTGACCCCAACCAGCCCGTGCCACAGGACACCAAGTTCATCCACACCAAGCCCAACCGCTTTGAAGAGGTGGTGTGGAGCAAGTTCAACAGCAAGGAAAAGCAGTACCTGCACATCGGCTTGAAACCACGCGTGCGCGACAACTACCGCGCCAACAAGGTGGCCTTCTGGCTGGAGCTCGTGCCTCACCTGCACAACCTTCACACGGAGCTTTTCACCACCACCACTCGCCTGCCTCCCTATGCCACACGCTGGCCGCCTCGCACACCTGGCCCTGGCACTTCCGGCACACGCCGTCCTCCCCCACCTGCCACTCTGCCACCTGAGTCTGATATTGACCCGGGCCCACGGGCCTATGACCGCTTCCCTGGTGACTCGAGGGACTATTCCACGGAGTTGAGCGTCACTGTGGCCGTGGGAGCTTCCCTCCTCTTCCTCAACATCCTTGCCTTTGCCGCCCTCTACTACAAGCGGGACCGGCGACAGGAGCTTCGGTGCAGGCGGCTTAGCCCACCGGGAGGCTCAGGCTCAGGTGTGCCTGGTGGGGGTCCCCTGCTTCCCTCTGCTGGCCGAGAGCTACCCCCAGAGGAGGAGCTGGTGTCACTGCAGCTGAAGCGGGGTGGTGGTGTTGGGGCGGACCCTGCTGAGGCCCTGCGCCCTGCCTGTCCACCCGACTATACCCTGGCTTTGCGCCGGGCACCGGACGATGTGCCTCTCTTGGCCCCTGGGGCCCTGACCCTGCTGCCCAGTGGCCTGGGGCCCCCACCCCCACCCCCACCTCCTTCCCTCCATCCCTTTGGGCCCTTCCCACCACCTCCTACTGCTACCAGCCACAACAACACGCTACCCCATCCCCACTCCACCACTCGGGTATAGGGGGCGGCTTGGGGAGGGCTACCTCCCTAACCCTCCCCAGCCCAGGCCACTTGAAGGCAGGGAGGAGGACTTGGCACCGGGCTCTTCCCCTGTGGATTTGTCAAACGTCATGGAGCAGCGCTAAGGTGGACATGGGATTCCTCACGGCGATGCGAGTTTTTCCCATGCAGAGAAGCCCATTCTCTTCTCTGGACCTGGGCCTTTGAACACCTGGGGCTATTTTTGCCCTCCGATGGGACACCAGTCTTCGGTGTGTGGAAATGTGGAAGTCTTTTTTTTCCCATGTGGAGGTGTGCTCTCCTCATGAGGAGGTGTTTTCCCATGTGCAGGGTGAGGGTTTTTGTTTTTGTTTTTGCCACCCTGGACACATGTTGGCCCCCTTGAAGAATTTCTGCGGGAATTTGTACCCCAGAATCCTGTTCCCTCATGCCTTTGCCTTCTCCCCGTCCAACTCCCTGGAGACCCTGGAAGTGATGTGTTCACATACAGTGACCCTTGGCCACCAGTCAATACAGGGTGGTACCTGGGGAGCAGCAAGGAAATCACAGGCCCCCTGGACCCTACTCCCCATCCACCCCTGAAAAGCATGTTTCTCCCCCACGGCACAAGTCAGGCGAAGCACGTTCTCCTTGGAGGCCCTCGCTTTCCATAGACAACACAGATTTCCTGCTAGAGGGAAGGGAGATCTGCGCATCCCAGCACTGTCTGGAAGCTTGCCTTCCGTGGTCCAGGACACATTTCACTGAATGGAAACATGTTCTTGCATGTGGATGTGTATTTCCCAGGCAGAGGGTCCCGCTCTCCCCAGCTCTTCCCTGCATCCCCCCACACCTCAGGCCTAGCACACAGTTCCTCCTGACATAGCAGGTGGGGAAAGACTTCAAGGTGACAGAAGCCACGGGGGCAGGGGGAGTACAAACCTGGCGGGAGACGCTGAGGTGGGAGGATGTGGGGGGCATGGCACATGTCACACAAGAGGCCATGCATGTTTGACCTCATGGGTCCTGAGGACAGCTTTCCCTCAGTCCTTGAGATCATTGCTCATCCGTGCCAAACTGGGTAGGGGGGTTAGGAGACTCAAAATGTGCCAGGGATCCCCTAAGTCCTAGTCCAGGGAAGGGAAATGCCAGGGACAGGTGGCAGCTAAGCCCCCCCCCCCAATGTCTCATCCCTATGTCATTTCTCCTTCTCCATCTCTGGCTCCTTCGATGCTCTCCCCATCTCAGGGTCAGACCAGCCTTCTTTGACCTGCCTCCCCTTCCTGATTGGCTGAGCTGAAGGAAAGGAGCGGTAGAAGGGGGAGGGGAGGAGACAGGGAAAAGGTTGGGGAGAATGAGGTCAGCTGTACCAAGGAGCAGATGGAGGGGGCCGTGGGGGACAGGGCTTGGGCAGAAACCAGCAGGAGTATTTCAAAAGGAGATGTGGGAGGCAGCTGCCCAGAGGTCTTTAGATTGGGACCTCTGGGGAAAAGAATGGCAGGAAAGGTTTAAGGGACACGGGTGAGGTGTGACCGGATCCTCTTGTATTGTGTGGCTTTCTGTGGGATGTTAGTGCCAAACTTGTATAGGGGTAGGGTGCTGTCTTCCACTGACACCCAGAATCCTTGGTCTTGAGTCCCCCGTCCTTTTCCCCACTTCCGCCCATGGAAACGTAGTTCTTTTCTGGCCCTTTCCCTGCCTGGTCTAGCAATTCTTGGAACAGCCATGCCTTCCAAATGCTATCAACCTGAGCCCTGTAAGCGGACGCCCCAGAGCTGGGGTGTGGGGAGGGGGCTGGGGGACCCCATGATACAGCCACGGACTCCAATGCCCAGCCCCTTTCCAAACAATCCCGTGTCCCCACCCCAACCCTTTGCGGCTCTGTACACATTTTTAAACCTGGCAAAAGATGAAGAGAATATTGTAAATATAAAAGTTTAACTGTTGGTGTGTCTGCTGTGACGTTAGAAGGTGCCGGAGAGGGTACCCAGCCCTGGTTGTGTCTGTCATGTTAGGTGCTGGTTAGAAGTACCCAACCTTTTTCAGGAAACTCAAGATCTGAGGGGAAATAGCAAGAGAGGTTGCCATAATGACGGGATTGGATGGCTAAGGTAAGGAGCAGGATGGGCAAATAGCTAGACACCTGCATCGCAGCATCCAGGAGGCTGCTGTAGAGGCCCACAAACTGACCAGCCTTAACTACATGCAGTGGTGGTGGTGGTGCACACCTTTAATCCCAGCACTTGGGGGCATAGGCAGGCGGATCTCTGAGTTCAAGGCCAGCCTGGTCTACAGAGCATAGTTCCAGGACAAGCTCCCAAACTACAGAGAAACTTTGCCTCAAAAAGCCAAAAAAAAAAAAAGATGCTAGACATGGTGTGCACTGTGATCCCAGTACTTGAGAGGAAGAGACAGGAGGAAACGGATTTCAGGTCACTCCTGGCTCTGTGGAGGCCAAGATCAGAAGCTGTCGGTGGGGTCTAAGAGCCTGGTGTTACCTTAGCAGGAACAGGAGCTGAGGAGAGCAGATGCTAATAGACTGGAGAGCCAGCGAGGCTGGCTAGAAGAGACACATGCAAGGAACAGTTTGCCCTGCCAAGGCCTGGGCTAAGGTCGGAGAGCCAGCCCTGGGCCTAGCGCCTTGAGCAGCATCTTGGCACATTGTGAGGGAAAGCCTCAGCATCATTGTGACCCGGTCACTCTCAGGGTCAGGCTGGCAGGCCAGTGGGCACTAGGGTTAGTAGATTGGGGTCCTAAGGGCCCTGGTGGCCCTAGGGACCGCCATGGCCATGGCTGAGAGGCCGCGGCCTGAGTGGGCCTCATATCAAAACTCCAACACCAACAACTGCCAGGACATGGGAAATTCCATCCTCCTGCTGCTGGGTCTCATCATCTGTATCAACATCGGCATCAACCTGGTGACCCTGGTCAGGAGTGGAGGGTGTGGATAGGGGTGGATGGGAGGCAGGCCTGGTTACAAGAACCTACTCGTGGTCACCATGTCCTCCTATACCTAGCTCTGGGGCCGTCTTCGCATCATCCTACACCAAATGTTCCATATCATTTGTGAGAAAGGTAAGGACAGCTGGGTTTGGGGCCTCTGAGCAGCAGAAACCAGGCTTCTCTCCCACCTGACCCTAAGCGGCTCCTCATGACTGAAGGGCGGCTTCTCCCTCAAAGCCCCACCCTCTCTCTCTGTAGAAGCCAGTCTCTCCAACAGCCTCACCTTTCCCCAATTCACAGAAACTACTAAATTATCCTCACCTGGGAGGCAGACCCAGCCCTCAAGGAAGCAGACCTGCCCTGAAGTCCATCTTCGATGTACTATGGACCCTGTGAAAATGACCATGACCCCGCCAAGAACTCGTCGTCACCGCCGTAGGGCCTCTTCATCCCGCCGCGCCCGCCGCCCAGCACCTTGGGTCCCTGACGCTGACGATGAGAAGCACCGGGAAATCTGCTCCCACCACTGGGATGGTCCTAAGGACTGGGAAGGTTTCCAACCCGTGCAGGAGATCTGGGATCCTTGGACTCAGGATGGTCTAGAGCAGTCTCCCCAGACCATCCGCTTCCAGGCACCAGTAGAGGGAAGGCCTCTCAAAAGAGAGATCCAGTCAGAGCAGGGCCTAGAGGCCTATGTATATACTGTGAACCCCCCACCTCCCAACCCAGAGGCGCTGAGCCATAAAAACAATGGGGTGGGGCTGGGGACAGGTGCTGAGGGTGAACAAGGACAGTGTCAGCCTCCCTCACCACCCTTCCTGGGTCCAGCAAACATCCCTGAGATACCCCAGCGCCATTCTTCGGGCCGAATAGTGTATGATGCCCGAGATGTGAGGCGCCGGCTCCGAGAACTGACCCGGGAGGTAGAGGCTTTGTCTCATTGTTACCCCTTGGTTTCTGAGTCCAGCACAGCTGAGGGGACAAGCCAGGATTGGGTGTATCGTTCCCTGAAGGGAAGATGACTGGGGGGGGGGGGAATAAAAAGGAGAGAAGAGGTGGTTTATGGTGGTCTGAGGGGTGGGTCTTCACAGTGCTCAGAATCCCTGGTTGCTAAGAAAATGACCCCCCCTTGAAATAGCCTAAAGAGCCCTGGGAACCCTTGTCAACTTCTTGCCTTCATAGGCCCTGTCCTGAGCCCTTCTCAAGGGCCTTCTTGACTCCAAGGCTCCCAACTGGCCTCTGCCCTGTTTTCTTTAGTGCCCAGAGAAGCCACCAAATCCAGCCAGTTCTGGCAGTTCTGAACTAGAGAAAAGGCCTCAGATCCCATGGCCCTAGCTGAGGTCTAGGGAGCCCAGGTTTAGGCTACAGATCAAGCAGAAGCAGGGGTCCCTCCAATGCTCTAGTTTCCTTGGGTAAGGGAGGGTTTCTAGGCTCTTACAACCTCCCAGGCAGAACCTGAAGATCCTGCAGCCCTTGAGAATAGATTTAGAAGCAGGAGGTAAAATGACAGGGGTACTCTCAAGAGACACCATCTCATCTCTTTGCCTTCTGTGGTGTTGTGCCTCTCCATGTCACCAAGTAAAGATAGAGGCTCAAGTCACCAAGAAACCTGCTTGTGGCCACAGATGCTTAGGGTTTTCTATCCCACCTTCCCCATTCCTGCTGGTGGATAAATTCCCATTGCCAATGAATCAGCCTACATTTTACCATGTGACCACTTCTGAATATTCCATCCACTGGACCAAAGAGAAAATGAACCCTGCCCCGCTCCCAGATGGCTGAGATTCTCCTATGCATGCATCTTGGGAGCAAGAAACCACACGAGCCCAGGCTGGAGGGGATGGACATCCTGGAATGGGAGCATATTTTCTGTGAGTCACCCTGTTTTTCTGTTTGCATCCAACTGAAGCTACTAAAGTTCAGTGGTAGCACAAGGCTGTAATCCTGGTTCTCAGGAGGCTGAGGCAGGAGGATAACTGCAAATTCAAAACTAGACAGGTTTACATACCCAGGTGTAGGCTAGATGGGGCTACAATAGCAAGATGCCGTATCAGCAAAACAAAACAAAACAAAACAAAAAAACTCCAAGCAAAATGGTATTGATTATTTCCAGTTAATTTTATTCTGTGGGGACACAGCAAGCATGCGCTGTGTATTCGGAGACCATAGAAAACACCTTTCCTCCATTTCTGCTGAATAGTTTGCTGTATAAAACATTCTTGGCAGGTGGAAGCAGGAATATCAAGGAGTTCAAGAATGTCCTTAACTACATAGATTACCAAGGTCACCCTTGCTTACACACGACCCTGGACCCTATCGCAAAACAACACAGAAAATGATTGGTTGGCAGGGTGTAGATGGTGCGTGCCTGTAATCCCAGCGCTCTGGAGGCAAAGGCAGGATGCTTCTTACAAGTTCAAGGCCCATTAGATCTTAAGTTCCAGGCCAGGGAGGATTACATAAGACCCTATTTTATCTTTTTGAGACAGGGTCCTTGGCTGGCCTGGAAGTCACTGGAAGGTCATGGTTGGTCTAGAACTTAAAGAATCTGCCCTGTCTCTGCCTCTGGAGTGCTAGGGTTAATGGCATGTGCCACGCCATACCTGGCCCTCTTTTTTTTTTTTTTAAGACTTTTTTTTTAATTAGATGTCTATATGAGGGCAGATGTGTGCACTTGAGTACTTGAGTGCAGTTGCCAGTGTAGTCCAGAAGAGGGCGTTCGATCCTCTGGAACCAAAGTTCTAAGTACTTGTGAGTACCAACCTGGGTAGTGGGACCTGTACTTGGGTCCTCTGCAAGAGCAGTATGCCCGCTGAACTGCTGAGCCATCTCTCTATCTCTTGCTAGATTTTATCATTAAAACAAACAAAAACCCCCGCACTTGCAGTCAGGGTGCTACTTTCGTAGATAAATGACTGTTAACCTAGTTTACATGAAAGGCTGCCCCTCATATCAGCAGTTACACCTATCTTATGCTTTGTTAACTTTGTGAACTGTTTCATGCTTTTCTAGAGCTGAGTAAACATGTCTGGAAGTACACGGAAGTACTTCACTAACGTGTGTGTGTGTGTGTGTGTGTGTGTGATTGGGATGGCATCACTAGCTCCAGGGTGGCCTGGAACTAGACCTCCAGCCACTCCAGCAACCTGGACTGACAGCCCTCTCAACCCAGCATGAACTGAGACATCTCAACAGGCTGCCTATGCTGCCGTGCCTCAGAAGAGACATGGATATCTTGGCCCTGTGAAGACTGCCTCATGACTGCAGCTACCATACTTTCTGATCAGAAGCCAGATGTGGGGTGAAGAGTGGAGGCGGAACAGACTGACCTCAAGTGCAGCAGGGTCCTGTTCTATCAGACGGAGGGCAAGGATAAGCATTGTCATGTATGGAGTCAGATCAGTGAATAAAAGAGCTTCTGTCTCTCCATTATGACTCTAACCTGCCTCATTATGACCTGGCTCCCTCTCCCAGATAGTAAGCATCTCTCGGTACTGGCATGAATACAGTGTGGGTTGGGCTGGGTGGGGGGGTGGTGGCCCAGGTGGCCTTCGGACCCCCCCCACCATGGAAAAACAGCTGTGGCAGGGCACGTTGGGGTGCTGCAATCAATACCAAGAAAGCTCCCAGGATGCTGAGGACATCCTATTCCTGCTGCTGGGTCTCATCATTCTTGTCAACATTAGCATCAACGTGACAACTGTGGTCAGTGGTTACTGGGGCTCACCCATAGGGATGGAGAGAGCTGGCTTCGCTTGCAGAAATGGGGGGATTGTTAGGAATGGAGACGGTATTAGAAAGTCGGTCTTCATTCCCATCTCCCCACCAACCCCAGGTGTGGCATGGGATCCAGAATGCCTTAGACAAGATGATCTGTTGGATGTGTGAGAGAAGTAAGTGTGCTAGACCACAGTGCCACACACACACACACACACACAGATCCTAAAAAATCAGGACCAACTGTTCTTAACCCTGAACTTTTTGGCTCTTGTCTGTAGCAGATGAAGTCCAGGCTACCGAATGTGCCCCCACAGAGCCCCCAACCAACGTCCAGGACGTCCACATCCATTGTGTCCTGGACCCTGTACAAGTGAAGATGGCACAACCCACACACGGCTCCTCTTCCTCCTACCACCACTATCTCCGTCAGCGCTATAGCAGCAGGCGCCGCCGCAGGCGCTGCCGCAGTCGCCATCACCAGCAGGGCAGCCACAACCGCTACCCACAGGGCCGCCACAGCCACCAGCAGAGGTTTCCAAACAACAGGCAGCTCGCCCGTGGCTGTCCACCCTTCCGTAAACAACCTCAAAGCCACAAGCTGTCACAGCCGAGGCCACTGCCCTTTTTTGACCTGGAAGACCGGGATTCCCTTCCGGAGGATGACCAGTCCTGTCCACATCCCAAACATCCGCACAGGGGCTGGCGAGGTTTTTATAAGCCAATAGGTCGGGCCTCCAAGGTGGGACTGTGGGGCCGCCAGGGCGGAATCCTGGCCAGCCTCCCGCTACCCTCTCTCTACCTGTCACCGGAGCTGCGCCGCTTGCCCAAGCGGGTAGAAGCCAAGTCTGAACTGAGGCTACAGGCTTTCGGTCCCCGTTACTCACAGTCTCGGATTTGGGGTAACGTGGAAGCTGAGCAGTGGGCCTCCTCGCCACCACCACCTGCCCGCCGGCTGCTTACTAGTCCCTCCTGGGTCACTGTGAGCTACAGCCCTTTCCCTTCAAGGGGCCACATACCGCCTGATGCCTGGGATCAGCGGCGGCGTGGGGTAGAAGGCTCTGAGGCACCACCGGCCTTTGCATGCAGGAACCCCAGGCCAGAGGCCCAGGGGTACCGGGAGCACAACTCCCCACAGGCCCACCGGCAGAACTTCCCTAGCTATACTCACAGCCAACCCACCTACAGCCCACCGCAGTCCTTAGGACACATGGGTTACAGCTCCAGGGAATCTCATGAGGTCCGCAGGCGGGCAGCTGACTGGACTGAGGTTTTCCCCTCGAGGCATCCGCTGACCACTTCCACCTCCCTCACAGTATTGGGCGAGGCTTCATACCAAAGGGCTCCAGCTGCCGGGTCGGGCTTGATAGTACCTCACTCCTCCCAGCCCTTGCCTGAAGTGCAGGCTTCCGATCCAGCCCCACCTCCAACCACCTTTGTTCCACTCAGTCGGAATCCAGGTGGCAATGCCAGCTACCAGGTGTATGACAGCCTGGAACTGAAGAGGCAGGTGCAGGAGAGCAGAGGGCGGGCCAGCTCCCTGCCACCACCTTCCACCTCAGCTTCAAGGCCCTCTCTGCACAGAAGTCGGACAGGGAAACTTAACTGACCAGCAGGTGAATGCGGACAGCGGAGCAGGCCATGGAGAAAGGAATAAAGAGGAGTCCGGAAACCCTTGTCATCTGTGGTTTGGAAATAGCCCTTCTCACATCAGCCAGGGATTCCTGTTAAGAGAAGCCAGTCTCCCCTTGGCAGTCTCCTGTAGCTCAAGGGGCCATAATCTTGCAAGTGGGCCCCTCTTGGTCCTGTCTGCAAAGTCTGAAGCTGTAAACTGCGAAGCCCAGGTCTTCAGAGCTTCCACTGGGTTTTAGTTCTTCTGCTTCCCAAAAGAGACAGACTCAGTTCTGCTCAAGAAACTGGGACTCGAGCTGGGCGATAGTGGCACACACCTTTAATCCCAGCACTCGGGAGGCAGAGGCAGGCAGATCTCTGTGAGTTCTAGACCAGCCTGGTCTACAAGAGCTAGTTCCAGGACAGCCTCCAAAGCTACAGAGAAACTCTGTCTCAAAAAAAAAAAAAAAAAAAAAACAGAAAAACAACAACAACAATAATAAAAGGATAGTAGAATGCAAGAAACTGGGACCAGGGCTTGGTAAAGGTGGCTCTTTGGTTGAGTACTTGCCACTTTTGCAGAGGACCTGGATTCAGTGTCCAGCGCCCATGTGTGACTCACAACCATTTGTAATTCCAGTTCCAGGGTGTCCCGATGTCCTCTTCTGACCTCCATGTATACCAGGCAAAATGTGACACACATATATACAGTCAAAACACTCATATACATAAAATAAAATTGGGGGGAGGGAAGGGAGAAAAAGAGACTGAGGTCAGACATCTGGCAGATAATAGCTGGGCTGGAGAGATGGTTCAGCGGTTTAAGAGTTCTGGCTGCTCTTCCAGAGGTCCTGGGTTCAATTCTCAGCAACCACATGGCAGCTCATAACTGTCTAACTCCTGTTCCAGGGGACCTGACACCCTCACACAGACATATGTGCAGGCAAAACACCGATGTACACCAAATTAAAAAAATAAATAAAGCGTGAGGCCAAGCACAGGAAGACGACCAAGGCTCTAGACTCAGCCCAGGCTTCCCAGTCTTGAGCAACCAAGGGCTGAGTCTCTGGGCTTCTACTGCAGGAGGGATGACCTCAGCTCGCTGTGGGGGGGATAGTTGATAAAACGGAGAGGTTTAGGTTGCTAGGACCTGGTTACTAGGGAGCTTCATCCTGGACCCTTCTCTTCCACCGTCCCATTGTGATCCCAACCACCTGCTCCATTATGATGCAGGCCTTCTCACTCCCTCACTAGGGAAGTCTGCTTCCTAGTATGTGGGGGCAATGGGGCCCAGGTAGTCCTAGGACCCCAGGTCATGGGTGAACAAGTCTACCACGGAGCCCAACCATGCTCTGGCACCAACCTCAGGAGATGCCAGGATTTAGGAGATTCAATTCTGCTGATTCTGGGCAGCTTCATCTTGCTCAACGTGGGAATCAATGTGGTGACTCTGGTCAGGGAAGGGTCTGGGCATCAGGTGGAGGGGGCAGGGTCTGGGCATGGGCATCAGGTGGAGGGGGCAGGGTCCGGGCATGGGCATCAGGTGGAGGGTGCAGGGTCTGGGCAGCAGGTGGAGGGTGCAGGGTCTGGGCATCGCAGTGGAGGGGCAGGGTCTGGGCATCAGGTGGAGGGTGCAGGGTCTGGGCAGCAGGTGGAGGGAGCAGGGTCTGGGCATCGCAGTGGAGGGGGCAGGGTCTGGGCATCGCAGTGGAGGGGCAGGGTCTGGGCATCAGGGTGGAGGGGGCAGGGTCTGGGCATCAGGGTAGAGGGGCAGGGTCTGGACAGCAGGTAGAGGGGGCTCTGGGCTTCCTTTGCTTGTTTGTTTTGAGACAAAGTCTCACTATGTGGCTCGATTTGAATTCCAAACTTAAGGATTAAGATCTCCTTGCCTCAGTCTCCTGAGTGCTGTCATTACAGGTGTGTGCCACCATGCTTAGCCTGAGATCTGGGGTGTTCGAGGGGCTAAAGTGGAAGGGCTGCTAGGATACAGTCAGACGAATGTCAGCCTTCGGGGCTCGCCTCACTTCTGGGCTCTCCTTCCTCTGCTTCCCTCAGCTCTGGAAGCATCTGAAGAACTCACTGCGGATTCTTTTCCATCACTTTTTCCCCAAAGGTGAGTGGGCGCCTGCGTGGTCTCCCGGGTATGTGGCTTGTCCCCTTTGCCCCAGTCCCAGTTCCCACCGGGCACCTGTCTTTCCCTGCAGACAAACTAGACGCTGGTCTGAGCAGTCGCTCCATATACATGCGCTCAAGGATGCCTTCCCGATTTCATGGCCCCGGTTTCCTCCTGGGGCGTCTCAGTCACTTGGACTCTTGGATACCAGACACAAATGACGAGAACGTTTCTAGGAGCTGCTGGATGCCACCCCAGTGTGGACATGGCAGAGCTCCTATAGAAGATCCGTGGGCACTGTGGAAAGAGGAACTGCTGGGAGCTGGGGAAGCCCCTCAGGCCACAGTCATGAAGACTCAGACGTCTTTGTTTTTCAGGTCAGAGGTTTCTCCCCAGATTCCAAAGATATGCCAGCTGACCACGAACATACTTCCACCTTCCTCACCCCAGGAGAACAAGACTAAGTCAGATGACAGCCCACCCCACACTCTGGCCCAGGCCCTAACCTCTTCCTCAACCAACTCTCAACAGCTCCCCTCCACTCAGTCCCAGACTCAGCCTTCAGAATGCACTCAGTTAAGGGCACAGGGCCTTGAGTATACCTCAGCCCAGACCCCACCAGCCCACGCACCAGATTTTACCTCAGCTCCTATCCCAGCCCTCAGTGAAGGCCCAATACCAGCCAAGACTCTACCCCCAGCCCCCACCCTGTCCCATCCCCCAGTCCAGGCCCCAACCCATAGTCAAACCCATACCTTCGATCAGGCCCAGTCCCAGAGCCTGCCCCCTATCACACTCCAGGGGCCAGCCCACAACCCTGAGCAAACCTCAGCCCACACATCACCTCAACTACCAATCCAGGCTCCTGCTGATGCTTCCTTCCAATCCCAAGGCCATGACCCAGTCCAAATCCTAGTACACACCTTGACCCAACCCCACGCTGAAGGACCTGAGCAAACATCTCCAGCCTCAGCACATGGGCCATCCCATTCCCTACTTCCCTCGTGTGCCCATACCCCAGTGCCTAGCCCAACCTCTGCCCCAGCCCCTTGTGGTCTGGCCCCTGTCCCAGCCTGTGCCCCAGATCCTGCTCTAGCGCTGTCTATGACCATGACGACTTCCCAAGCCTCTGCTCAAGTCCCTGTCACCACCTCTACCCCTGCCCTACCTCCTGTTCCTTCTATGCTGACTTCCTTTTACCCCCACCTCTCCACTGGCCATACGGTTTATGATGCTCGCCAAGTAAAGCAGAATGTCTCCTGTAAGTACAGCTCCCAAAGCTCGAGGTGTTTCAGGAAGGACTTGAACATCTCCAGGCCCCATGAAGTGAAGGGTCTGGTAAATTCTGGCACTGCTAAACAAGCACAAAAGCAGCATGGGGAAGACAGTGCTGAGCATCCCGCCGGCTCTATACTTGGTTACATGGAGTTGGGGAACATGGAATGGAAGATCTCAGATAATGCCAAAGATAAGTTTTCCCAGCCCAAGACCTTCCCTTTCTGCAGCTTTCATCCTTGCTGTTCTGAGAGCCAAGACAGAGACTCCCAGGCACCAGTCTACCCCAAATTCCTGGTCTACACACAGGATGTCACTCCTTCTAAGCCTTGTTTTCATTCTCCAAGCACTGCTCAGTACAAACTGCCCCCCACGCCCCCACAGTGTACTCTTGCTCTGCCTCTTGTTTCTCCCAGAACATTTGTGCTTCCTCAATCTACCCTTCAGAAGCCCCCCAACCTAGCGCAAACCCCTGCCTTTCTCTCAGCCTCCAAGTCTCCTCAGGCTGCTCACTTCTCTATCCCTCCTCAGTTCTCCACTATTTCACAAACCTTAGTCCAACCCCTAAACCCTGAGAATCAAAACTTTAACCAAGACTTTGGCCTTCAAACAACCCCAATCCTTGTCAACGATTCTGGAGTTCCCAGGAACTCAAGTCTTACCCAAGATCCAGGACTCCAGAAGAACCCAAGCCTTAACAAAGATCCAGGACTCCAGAAGAACCCAAGCCTTAACAAAGATCCAGGACTCCAGAAGAACCCAAGTCTTAACAAAGATCCAGGACTCCAGAAGAACCCAAACCTTAACAAAGATCCAGGACTCCAGAAGAACCCAAGCCTTAACAAAGATCCAGGACTCCAGAAGAACCCAACATTTGCCCCAAATCCAGAACACCAGAAGAACCCAGGCCTTGCCTCAAATCCAGGAATCCAGAAGAACCCAGATCTTGCCCCAAATTCAGGACTCCAGAAGAACCCAGGCCTTTTCCCAAATCCAGGAATCCAGAAGAACCCAGCCTTTGCCCAAAATCCAGAACACCAGAAGAACCCAGGCCTTGCCCCAAATCCATACCTCCACAAGAACTCAGGTTACTATAAGCTTCCAAGCTGTGTTCAAGAGTCTTACCTCTGCATGAATCCAAGCAATTCCCAAGACGCTTGCCTTCAAAAGAATCTAGCTATCACTCAAGATTTCAGCCTAAGGAGTTCAGATGCTGGTGTTCTTAGGAACTTAGGTTTCCTGCAGCCTTCCAGCCTCCACAGGAATATAATATTCAATGAAACATCTGGTCCGAGGACTTTGAGTTTTATGCAAGACTCTGTCATCTACAGAAATGTTGCGTTAAACCAAGACACTGTAATCAACAAAAATAAAGGTGTCTCCCTAGTAACTGACCAAAAGAGGCCAGACCCCCTTCAAGATTCTGGAGGTAACAATGGTTTAGGAAATGTACAACATCCAGGAGTCTGCAAGAGTGTAAACCTGACTCAAGACACTAGACCACAGAAGATCCCGAGCCATACCCAAGACCCTGAAATTAATAAAAACTCTGGACTTACCCAAGAATCTAGTTCCCCCAAGAGCCCAGGTCTTGTCCAAACCTCTTGCCTCCATAAGAGCTCAGGTCTCACACAAGACTCAGGAGACAACAAGAATTTAAGCCTTACCCAGGCTCCTGGAATCTACAGAGTCCCAGCTCTAAACCAAGACACTGGCTCCCACAACAGTCTTGGCCTAATCAATGTCACCACAGCAGAAAAACGATCAGACCTTAACCAAGATGTTGGCGTTTACAGTTCAGAATACGGCCAAGATCCTAACCTTCAGGAGTACCCAGCAATTGATCAAGATTCTGGCTGTCAGCAGGACCCAGCACTTGGCCAAGGCTCTGGCTTCAAGACTCCAGGCCTTACCCAGAAAGCTGGCCTCTGTAAGGACTCAGGCCTTATCCCAGACTCTGGCCTCAACAAAAAAACAAGCTTTGCTCCAGGTACTGATTCTGCCCAAGTCATGGGCCCATTTCAAACACTAAAACTGACATCTTCCCCAGTGGAATCCCTTGAAGGTAAGGTGACTTCTCAGAAGGACATTACAGAGCAGCATGTGTCCTGCACTTCTGTCCCAGTCAACCAAAGTTCCTGCCCTTCCAAGGACCAAGTGCTCTCCCCTGACCTGAAAACTTTTTCAGAGGTCCCTGTCCTGATTGAGCTACAGCCTCCCTCCCGACGGCTAGACAGCCAAGACTGGGTATACCACACCGTAGACACAGCTGTTTCGACCTGCCAGAAGTATCGCCAGATGTCTGTACCTCCCCAACTCGGCCAGAAGTCCCATTGCCCAGGACCAGGCACCCGGACAGGTCACGTGGTCTTTGATGCCCGCCAGAAACAGTTAGTAACTAGCAGGGAAAAGTGCGAAGCTCTGTCTTCCAGGCGCCCTCGTCCAGAAGCACCCCAAAACTCAGAGGCGACCCAGAAGGAATGGGGATATCAAAATGTGATGAGGACCTTGGACAATGAGGGGGCAAATAAGCATCGGAAATAAAGAGGCAAGAGAAGCATTCTGTGGTTGTTTGAGGCTCTCCATCCCAGCGCTACCTCTTCCATCGGCCGTCCTCATCTTAGAGACACGGATCGCTTGCCTCTTCTTCCTCCACAGCTCCATAGTCAAGCCCGTTGTCTTCCAGGCTCAAGAGCTGTGTGTCAGGAACAAAGATAGTAGCCACTATTCAAATCTGTTAGGATGTCAATTAAAATTTAAAATTCTCACCAAGTGTTGTGTTGCACACCTGTAATCCCAACACTTGGTGAATGGAGGCAGGAGGTTTAGGAGTTCAAAGAAATCTGAAGCCATATAATGACGTCAAGATCAACATGGGTTACTTGAAATCCTGTCTCAAAAATTAAAAAAAAAAAAAAAAAAAAAGATTCTGAGAGGACTGGAGAGACAGCCATCTGTAATTCCCAGCATTCACCCGGTGGCTCACAGTAGTCTGTAACTCCAGCTCCAGGGCCTCAATGCCATGTCATCATCTGGTCTCTGTGAGCACTGCACACATGGTACACAGATATATATGCAGACAATTACCCATAAAAAATTGAATTTAAGCTGGGCATAGCGATGAACGCCTTTAATCCCAGCACTCAGGAGGCAGAGGCAGGTGGATCTCCGTGGCTTCAAGACCAGCCTGGTCTACACGGCTACATGGACTCAGTCTCCAAAAAAATATATATATATATATATATATATGTATATGTATACATGTATATATACATATATATATATATACATGTAGGCAAAAACACTCATACACGAAGCTTGAAAAGATGGCTCGGCAGTTAACTCAGGTTCGATTCCTAATGCTTACATGGTGGCTAACCACTATCTGTAACTCCAGTTCCATGGGGTCTGAGGCCATCTTCTGGCTCCAAGAGCTCCAGGCGTACAAACGGTACACAGCCACACATGCAGGTAAAACAACCACACACAAAAATAAACTGAAAAAAAAAAAAAAAAAAAAAAAAAAAAAAAAAAAAAAAAAAAAAAAAAAAACAGTCTTGACTCCTCTTGATCTGGCCTCTAGGGGTCATAGTCAGACATACAAACCCATGTCCCGCGATCCTTCAGTTTCCCTCATTGTGGCTGAAGGGGAAGGGTACCTCCTTGGCAGTGACTTGAAACCCCTTAAGTCTGGGCTTCCCAGGTAAGCTCGTTCCAGGAATTTTGCTTTGTTTTGTTGTTTTGAGACAGGGTTTCTCTGTATAACAGTCCTGGCTGTCCTGGAACTCACTATGCAGACCAGGCTGGCCTCGAATTCACTGAGATCCACCTGCCTCTGCCTCCAAGGGCTTGGACTAAAGGCATGTGCCACCACCTCCCGGCCTCTAGGAGTTTCTTTACAGACTCCCTCTAACCCCAGCTTTGGGGTGGTGTCTCACTGTCAGCTAGGTTCACCTGAACTCACGCTGCATCGCAGCTGAGTCTCTAGCTCATGGTAGTCTTCCTGCCTCTGTACTGGGATTAAAAATTTGAGCCACCACACGTCATTATCCTCTAGCTTTTCAGGACGTCCCAGTTAACAATCAGAGGCAGATGGCATGTAAGAAGTCCCGGCCTGGGGAGGAGTGGTCCGGTCTGCGAGCCTACTGCATGTTTACTGGCTTACTGCCTGTCCCATGATCACACTCCCAGCCCCATCCTATGTGTGTGCTACATTCTGACCCCTTATTCTGGTCTCTGGGAGCATAGGTTACTGAAAGTAATTTCCTGCCCTAGTTTTTGTGGCCTAAGCTACCATCGCTGGGAGTTTCCTTTTGGACTTCAATTTCAGTCCTAATAGCTTCTATGTCCATGTAGCCTCAGGTTCCCATGTGTTTGCCCTGCCATGATTCTGCATGTCTGGTGTGGGCATTGTTGGTCACAGTCCCCCGCCCGGATTCAGATGTCCACTTCTGCCTCATCTTGTAGGTTTTCTGCCTTAGTATTAGTATTGATTCAAGGAAGATGTCTTCCCACCAATCCATAGAGCAGTTTTTCAAGCTGTCTCACTCAGCTCTGACCCTGAATGAATCATATGCATTATTATTATTTTATTATTATTTATTTTATTATTTTTAGACAAGGTCTCACCATTGTCCCTGGCTGTCTTGGAACTCTCTATGCAACCAGACTGGTCTTGAACTTACAGAGATCCACCTACCTCTGTGTCCCAAGTGTGTATTAAAGGTGAGTATCACTTAGCTCAGCTTCTTCCTTTTTAAAAATAGAATCTAGCTGGGCAGCAATGCCCCACGCCTTTAACCCCAGCACTTGGGAGGCAGAGGGAGTCTGATCTCTATGAGTTCAAAGCCAGCCTGGTCTACAGAGCAAGTTCAAGAACAGGCTCCAAAGCTACAGAGAGAATCTAAATTGCCTAGAGTGGCCTTCAACCTGCCATCCTCCTGTCTCTACCTCCTAAGCCCAGCACAATTTTTCTAAACCATAGTCTCTAAAATGATCAGGAGCCCTTAATCCCAGCCCTAGGAGTTCAAGGCCAGCCTGACCTACGCAGTTTCAGGCCAGCAACAGCTGTGCAGTGAGGCCTTGCCTCAAGTGAATAACCTAAACTAAACTGAAATGAAGTCAGAATTTCTTTAAAAGAGCTTCATCTAAGAGACCACAGAGCCTCACGAATGGAATGAAGTGTGGGCTCTTCATTATTGTTTACTATTCAGATTCAACCAATTATTCCTCGCCTCCAGTTCCAGGGAGTGTTTGTGTAGGATTGATTAGACAGAACAATATGCTGTCGCGAAACAACTTCCAGCTGGGTGTAGTGGCGTGAGCCTGCACATCCAGCACCGAGGAACCTGAAGCAGGAAACTTGCTAGGAGTTCAGGGTCAGCCTGGACTGCACAGTGACTCTAGGCCATCTTGGGCTACATAACAAGACTTTTTATAAAAGTAAAAAAGAAAAAAAAAAAAAAGAGACAAGCATGTAAGCAGGGATCCCTTTCCATCCGAGCTGCAATGCTTACTAAGCATGGTGCTGTCTGCCTTTAATTCCGGAACTTAGAAGACCGAAGACGAGGCAGGCTGAGTTCTATGAGTTGCCTGCTCTACCTAGCGAGTTCCAAGCCATCCAGAACTACACAGTGAAACCCAGTCTCAAAAATAAATTTTAAATTAAATAAAATTGAATGGGGGGGGGGGAACTACAGCTTCCAGTAGGCACTACTCTAGCACGGTGGAAAGGGTGTGTAGGGACGGCCCCAATGCACCAGTATTGCGGGGAAACAAACTACAACTCCCAGGGTAGCAACAAGCCAGCAGGGTGACAGGCGTGACTGAACTCTCCCAGGAGGCGGGACCAGTCCAGAGCCTCCCAGACAGCTTCCAGAAAAGGGCGTGGACATGTGGCCATCAGGAAGTTACCTGTAGACTCTTTTACGGTGCTTTCTGTTCACAACCTTTTGAACTACCCCTTAATCGGAAAGCCTGGAGCACTAAGCCTCTTCTGAAAAACAGGTAAAGGGAGGTGAAGAAAGGGTGGTGGCACTGGCTGTCGCATTCCCCAGGAGGACCCAAATAGCCATTTTTTACCTGCTGAGTCAGGTGAACTGATTCACCGGGCCGCAACCCGCATCTAAGAAAGGGACGAAGGAGGTAGTCATCTTGTTCTTCTTGAAGACGAAACACGGAACACTTCTCTGCAGGACCCACTTGTGGACTGTCTGTGGCCTTTGCTCCACTTCCGAAAGCAGGGAAAACTGGAGAACGTTTGGGCAGCAAAAGAAAGGCCGGACAGGGCTAACTCCGATCTGTTCGCTCTAGCCCCAAACGATAGAGAACCATGGCTTCCACCGTCTGGGGCAGTGCCCCCTGGTGGGGCCCGCCACCCCCAGCCCCAGCCCGGCCACTCACGGACATCGACTTCTGCTCTGGCGCCCAGCTGCAGGAGCTCACCCAGTTGATTCAGGAGCTGGGTGTTCAGGAGAGCTGGAGTGAAGGGCCCAAGCCTGGAGCTGATCTTCTCCGAGCCAAGGATTTTATATTCTCTCTGCTCGGTAAGTAATTCTCAACTGCAGGAATTTGCAAACCCAAACCTCACCATTCCCCAACCCGGCCTTGGACCATGATACCTTCACGATCCCTTTTCTTCCTTTAGGTCTAGTTCACCGCCAGGACCCTCGTTTTCCACCCCAGGCAGAACTCTTGCTGCTTCGCGGTGGGATTCGCGAAGGCTCCCTAGATTTAGGGCATGCCCCCTTAGGTCCCTACGCCCGGGGACCTCATTATGATACCGGCTTTACACTCCTTGTGCCTGTGTTTTCTCTGGATGGCACTGGGCCTGAGCTGTTACTGGATCTGGAATCCTGTTATGCGTGGCTCCGCCTTCCAGAGCTGATGTACGGAATTTCGGTCCGGGAGGCCTGGCAGGATTGCCTAGGACCCCCTGTCCCAGAAGAAAGTGATTTGACTCACCAAACCCATGGCGAAGAGAATCCCACGCAGCAGGAAAGCGCTGTTGACCAGTCACATGACCATGTCCCTGAGCCTGAACCGCACACATCTGTGGAAAAATCTAGTAACCTTTCAGGGTCCCAATCGCCTTACAATGACATCAATCTTGAAACTCCTGAACCATTGAAAACACTGAGTAGTGACGCCTTGGAAGCCGACGAAAGGCCAGTCCCAAAGCCGTCGGAGGCTCCGAAGGCATGGCCCACATTATGCCCTACCCAAGTGGCTGCATGGTTCTTCGTTAAGCTGACTGAGGTCGCTGAGTCCCTGATCCCGGTCCCGAGCGCCCCGCGGTTAGTTCACGCTGCTCGCCACGCGGGAGTCACCACGGTCCTCCTGGCAACTCCGGAGCCCCCACGCCACCTCCTGCTCTTCGACCTGATCCCGGTGGTGACTGTGACAGGCTGGCCTGACAGCGCTCGGAGCCACTCATGGGCGGGTCCACTGGTCTCTGAGTCGGCTTCTTTCTACCTAGTACCGGGCAGCCTCCCGGAGCAGCAGGGCACCCCTGGATGGCAGCTGTGCTTCGCCCGCCAGGAGCTGGCGCTCAAAGCGCGCATCCCTGCGCCGCTGCTTCAAGCACACGCGGCGGCCCAGGCGCTGCTGCGCCCGCTGGTGGCGGGGACCCGGGCCGCCGCGCCCTATCTCCTGCGGACCTTGCTCTACTGGGCGTGCGAGCGGCTCCCTGCGCTCTACCTGGCGCGGCCGGAAAATGCCGGCGCTTGTTGCCTTGGGCTACTGGATGAGCTGAGCCGAGTGCTCGAGGCCGGGACACTGCCTCATTATTTTTTGAGCGGCCGAAAGCTCTCTACCGGAGATGACTCCGCTGCCCTGCGCGGGGCATTGGCCCAGCTCCGCGGAGACCCTGCCCAGGCCTTGCGTGAGGCGGTGGAGGAAGCCAAGGCAGCCCGCAAAGGGGGCGGTTTAGCGGGCATAGGGGGCGGAACCCATTAAAGATTCTACTCTGACGGACTGCGAAGTGTTTCCTTTGGCGAAAGGGTCGTGGAGGGTCTGCTCCTCCTTCGCAGACAGACTGTGTGTCTTGGGTCCAAAGCCTCCTTCCTAAAAAGTCTCCCCCAGTGTTTTGCCCTGCCTGAGGCCCAAGTTCTTTAAATCTGGCCGGCACCCCTCCTATCCCGGTGCTGCCTCCCGAGATGTTTCTCTATTGGAGTCTTTCAGAGTCAACAGCGGAAGGAGGAGTAGCAAAATGCGGGAACTGCCTTTTGGAAACCTGGTTCTGATTAATTTGTCTTACACCAAAGCAGGGAGATATGAAGGCCGGATTACAGTCCAGACTGGATGGCACAACTACCCCCGTTTCTCCACCGCGCCCCTACCCCCCACTTTCCTCATCCATTCCTGTCCTCACTTCCATCCCAGGCGGTAGGGTCCTTTTCCATTTCCTCACTGTCGGCCATTCCGTCTAGGGCCCCCGCCCCCCAGCCCCGCCGCATCAGGCTTCCTTGTCTCGTCTCCTCTGAACCCCGAGACTTGCAGGCCTTGCCTGGACTCCGCCTGCCTCTCAAACCGTCCCCACTCACAGCTTCGGAGGAACCCCAGGGTTCCGCCCGCCCAGCTTCAACTCCCTCTTTCCCAGCGTCTCCGCCCCCTGCCCCGCCCCCGGGCCGGCTCGCAGAGGAGGGGGAGCTTCTGTCGCCGCCTCAGCTTCCCACAGCCGCTGCTGCTGCTGCTGCCACCGCCGCTCCGCCTGGTCCAACCTCCAGGCCCAGTGCTCTGACTTTGCCGAACCGGGGCGCTCTGCAGAGACATCTTCACTTCTTCCTGGGGGTCCGGGACACCTAGGCCGGCGTTGGGGGGAACCTCCGCTTGCGGGTGACAGGGAGGGAGGAGCCTGGAGCCCGAGCCCGCGGCACCCGTCGCCCGGATCAACAGGACAGGACAGGTTGAGGGGCGTCGGGGAAAGGAAGGGGTGCTATAGCAATCCCCAGGGAGGACGTGGAAACCCTGTCGCAGGAAGCTCTGATGCGCTATGACTTATTAAGGCCTGTTTACGTTTGAGGAGTGGTGGCAACGTGGGTACACCCCTCTCTTGGGGGCCTTGTTAGATTGGAGAGTGTGGGATCTAAGCAGTGCCAGTTGTTCCTCGGGAAATTGAAAGGGGCCACCAGAAAACAAAAAAGCGGCTGATGCCCCTTGTTTCGGGGTGACAGAGGGCCCTCCAGACAACCACCTGGTGTATGCACTAGGAAGGGCTGGTTTGGAGGTGACTTCAAAAGGAGTGGAGGGTGACAAAGTGAGGAAATGGTCTCAGCAGCTGGAACCCCAGGTCGTGGAACCCCGTGAAGAAAAGCATTATTCAGCCAGAGGATCTGGGAACCCCTTCTCAATGAACCGAGACAGCTTGGATATTGAGACATATTTGGGGGGATGTTTGAAGAAAGTGAGAAAGACACTCCATTTAGAGTATAGCAAAGGAAAAAACATCAGGGCTGGGTTCCTCTCTGACATTGACAGCAGCCCAGGGCGAGCTAATGTCCCCAAAGCTAAAGACCCATACCTTTCAGGTTACAAGAGTAGGCTGGGCAGGAGCGACCCCAAAATAGGGTGGAAAGAACTCTGAGGATATTGAGAACACATCGTAGAAATTTAGGAGGGTCTTGACTTTGGGATAGAGGAAGTGGGACAGAGGCCAGAGAAGAGGGAAGGGGAGAGCTTTCGTTAGGGGACATAATTCATGGGTGAGGTCAGCTGAGGAGTGCATAGGCTATTGGAGCCGCTGGAGCTAGTGCAGGGCCCAAGGGTGAGAGCTGGTGGTTTTTAGGGGGAGGTAAGGGGGTCTGGCTTATCCTTAGGTCCTGTGGGTGGGGCGGTGGGTTGGGTCCAGAGCATGCCCTGGTGAGAGGGCTCCTTTAGGGGAGCCCAGGGTGCTCCGGGAGCCTGCTGGTTTGGGGGTGTCTCCTCCCGGGGCGCTATGGCGGCGTTGGCCAGTAGCCTGATCCGACAGAAGCGGGAGGTCCGCGAGCCCGGGAGCAGCCGGCCGGTGTCGGCGCAGCGGCGCGTGTGTCCCCGCGGCACCAAGTCTCTTTGCCAGAAGCAGCTCCTCATCCTGCTGTCCAAGGTGCGACTGTGCGGGGGGCGGCCCACGCGACAGGACCGCGGCCCAGGTGAGTGTGGCTAGGGAGGGGTCTCCGGGTCAGAAGTCCTTCTGCTGAGACCAGGGACCCTGGAGAATGCAGCCGACGATGGGGGGGTGGGTGTCCCAAAAGTAAGAGGTGGGCCAGATCGGCAAAACCTACGGGACTATGCTTCAGTTTCCTTCCTCTCTGTCCGTTATGCCGAGTCTCCTTGCTTTCGAGGGCAAGGGGAAGGTTTGAGGGGCCAAGTCTAATGATCCAAGCTTCTCGGCTCCTGTCTGTCCCCCTTCAACACAGGACTCCCCACCCCCACGGCTCTTCGCCTACGTGCAGGTTCTCGCGATTCTTTCTATCCGAAGCGGAGGGACCTAGGGGGTTCTGGACGCTTGGGTCACCCCGAGGGTTTCTGCAGCCCTGGCTGCCCCGCCCCCGCTCCGGTTCTCCCGCCCCTCCACGCTTGGGCTCTGCTCCTCCTGGTCGAGCTCTCCTGGCCAGGAGCCAATCTCTCCAGCTCTCCCCCGGGTGTCCTTGCAGCTACCTCGTCAGCCAGCCCCCTCCGTACGCCCTCTTTCTGTGACCTGCGCTTTGAGAAGGGTGTTGAGCACCCCCTCCCATTACTCCCGGGCGACTCGGAAACTCGTTCCTACAAGCTCCGGGGACCCTCTGCTAGTAGGAACTCACACACAGTTCAGGCTGAAGACCTGCAGAGAGACTTGGGGGCTCGTACCACTTACAAGCGGGAACAGGGAAGTCAGCAGAGAGCAAGCCGTGGGAAAGGAGAGGTGTAAGGGTTGGTTTGAGATTCCCGTCCAGGTACGACAGTTAGGGAGTCCCTCTGGCCTCTTTCCAGGCCTCTGCTGGTTCCCCCAGGGGTAGCCCCTTGCGCCCTCCTCCCCCACCACCAACGGTAGGTAGTGGTACAGTCCGCAGCCCACCCTCTAAGTGGGACCCAGCCCCCACGTGATGCAGCTCGCCTCTCCATCTCTGTCCCCTCTTCCTTTTCCTTGGTGTGGTATGAATGTTCCCCATCCCAGGCCAGTTACCTGGCTGAAGGGTGGAGTCTCAGCCTCGGGGAGAACTGGACCCTCGTGAGCCTGCCGACTGACTGACTGACAGACAGACAGACAGATGGGTCAGTGTCAGACAGGCCGGCGCTGAGCCAAAGCAAGGCCCGCGCCAAGCAAGCGGCAGCTGCAGCAGCAGGTGCTGACTCAGCGTCCGTCAAGCCCAGTCCCACCCCTCCTTCTGAGGGGGAGCCCCTTCCCTGTGGTCACCTTGCTGCTCACCCCGACATTTGCAAGCACACTTGCCTGGCGTCTCTAGCACTGTCCGTTGCCTTTTCAGTCCTTCTCCCTTACCTCCTCTCCGCCCCTCCCCCAACTCCGGTGAGGAGAAGGAATTAAGCCATTTAAATAAATTTCAATAAATTAAGCTGACGCTCATGATTAGAGAAAGCGGAAGGGACCCACACCCCAGCTTCCTCAGGAATTGAAGAGGGGTGGAAGGAAGCTTGCTTGAAGGGTAAGAGAGCTGGGGCCCCCGGAACTGTCTTCTGTGCCTTTCCCCTTCCTTCTAGCCTGTGAGCCCGCCAAGTGTAGGAATGTTTCTGGGAACAAAGATGTCATTTTCAAAGATGAATGTCTCTCTCTCCAGAGCCTCAGCTCAAAGGCATCGTCACCAAACTGTTCTGCCGCCAGGGTTTCTACCTCCAGGCGAATCCCGATGGGAGCATCCAGGGCACCCCAGAGGACACCAGCTCCTTCAGTGAGAGGGGAACCAGCTGCAGGGTGGGAAGTGGGGAGCAGGGGACAGGAGATGACATCCTGTCGCCTCTTCAGGCTTTGTTGTCTTCAGTCTGTGCTCTTGAACCCCAAGGGGAGAGTGGAGCTGGTGTGGGGAGGGGACTCGGATGGGAGCGAGGCTCTTGGGTCTGATGTCTGCTCTCTCTCCCCCAGCCCACTTCAATTTGATTCCCGTGGGGCTCCGTGTGGTCACCATCCAGAGTGCCAAGCTGGGCCACTACATGGCCATGAATGCCGAGGGGCTATTGTACAGCTCGGTAAGATCATGAGACTGAGTGACCTGGGGACACCCTCGGCGTAACCATCCTGTGCCACAGGCAGGCCTTGCACCCAGGACTCTGTCCTTCCTGCTTTGGCTGACCACTGCTGTTCTGAAAGTGGTCCAGGAGAGTGCATCCAGCCTCTGTCCTCAAGTACCCCAGGCTCTTGGCCGGCTGACTCTTTCAGAAGGGCCCCACTTCTCAGCCTGTCTCCTGGAAACTTCATCTTTCCTCTGGATAGGAAGTAGTAAGAGCCTGGGAATGCAGAGTAGAGATCTTCTTTCCAGGGCCCCTAAAAATCTAGTTCCTGTCCCTGGCTGGCCTACCAGGCTCTTCCTTATTCTCTCTGTGCTCTCATTTCTGTATGGACTCAGTAGTTGCCATCCTCCTTTTGAAAAAATGTATGGATTATATCTTGACTGCTTCTCCCAAGGACTTCCTTCTGCCAGTGACATAACTCTCCTCTCTCTCTCTCTCTCTCTCTCTCTCTCTCTCTCTCTCTTTCCCTGTCTGTCTCTGGTGTGCGTGCATGTATGTGTGTGTGTGTGTCTGTCCCTGCTTCTCTCTGGATCTTTGTTCCTCAGCCACATTTCACAGCAGAGTGTCGCTTTAAGGAATGCGTCTTTGAGAATTACTATGTCCTGTATGCCTCTGCTCTGTACCGCCAGCGTCGATCTGGCCGGGCCTGGTACCTAGGCCTGGACAAGGAGGGCCGGGTCATGAAGGGAAACCGAGTCAAGAAGACCAAGGCAGCTGCCCACTTTGTGCCCAAGCTCCTGGAGGGTGGGTATGGGCTCAGGAAAAGGTGGGACATGTGGGAGGGTATTGACCTTGACGTGAATGTCTAGTGTCGCACAGCCCAGGCCATAAATATTAAACAAGATACTGTAATGATAGGCCAAGACAGGAAGGCTTTAGCCTTTGGGGATGTGGGGAGCTCTCTTCCTTTGGGTTGGGGATCTCCAAGGATAGGTGTAAGGGAAGGGCGGCCTCTCAGAGCTCTGGCTCTTCCTGGCTCTCTGTCCTAATTCTCCTTCCGTACTCCTTTCTCTCTCCCCTTCACAGTGGCCATGTACCGGGAGCCTTCTCTCCACAGTGTCCCTGAGACCTCCCCTTCCAGTCCCCCTGCCCCTTGAGCTGTAGTCCCTGGACTGGAGGCTCCCTGCACTCCTGGTGAGCCGGCCACCGCCACAGCCTGCCTCCTAGCCCTGCTCCAGGCCTTGCTCGCACCCTGCCGCCACACACATGCCCTAAGCAGCCAGGTCTCACCAGGTGCTGTACCCTGAGGACGCTTAGAGGCTGGCTGGGACTCCTGGAGTTGCTGAGCTCTTAGATCCTGAGACCTAGGAGACCTTCTGAGATGGGGGTGCCTGAAATCATCCTGACTGATCCACCTACTTCTTTCCACACTAGCTTCTCCCCCTCCAAAGAACCCCAATTTTTCCTAAGATGGCGCTGGGGCTTCCAGAACTGACAGAGCAAGGGAATTAGCACTCCTCACCCTGGCTGAGCCAGTTTCTGAAGCCACGCACTCCTTTACATTGTCGCCAAGCCATATCTTTCTAGGTCGGCCACCGGCACTCAGAACTAGTTTCCTTCTCTCTCTGCTCTACCTTCTGCCTTGGTCTGGACAGGTTCTGACCCAGCTGAACACCCAGCCAGGGCCATTCTGTGTTCCGTACTGGAACCCAGGCATGGATCCTTTAAACTTCTATGCTTGACCTAGATGGAATCCCCTGGTTTAAAAAGAGAGAGAGAGAGAGAGAGAGAGAGAGAGAGAGAGAGAGAGAGACTGAATTTGAGCCTCCTAATGTGGCCATTGGCCTTGGTCTGAGTTGGAACCAGCCTCCGGCCACATTACACATGAAACCTTCTTATCCCAGAGACGCCCAGTTCTAGAGCACGTGTTCTAGGCCTTTGCGGAGCCATACTTCCTCCCGACTCTCAGCTCTAGCACATAGACCATGACTCTCAGCCCCTTTTCCAGGATGGAACCTGGGCCTGTATAGCCATATTATTGTACTAGAGTAAGTTCTAAACCCACCCTTCTACTTCCTGTAATGATTATTTAAGAATGAGCTATGGATAGAACTGAGCAATGATTCATTAAGAACTAATTGGTTCTGAGCTGTGCTTAGTGGCACAAGCCTATAATTCAGCCTGGGGACTGAGTCAGAAGGATTTCGAGTTGGAGGACATCCTGAGCTATAATAGCAAAACCCTGTCTGAAAAGCCACGCATGTGCGTGTAAACACACACACACACACTGGGGGAGGGGGCAGGGAGAAAGAGAGAGAGAGAGAACACACTTACTAATCAGTACTGAATGGATCAAGGACCACTGCTTGTTTTTCCTAGATAATTTTCTAAAATCTTCTTCCCTCTAGAATGCTAACCTTACTTTTACATGTTTTCTAGTTTTAGCATTGCAGCTGGGGTTCTCCCAGGGAAACAAGAGCCTAGGGAAAGGTATAGGAATTCTGGAAGACTATACCTGGTACATGGTAGGGAAGCCAAGAGGAGGAAAATGGCAGACTTTGACTGCTTCGGGGAGACATGAACACTTAGCTACCTCAGCAGGAATTTCTTACACTTGCCTCTTAAGGCTGAGGTCCTTTGCTTGATATGGTGTGGTGGTTTGTGAGGTGGAGGAAAAAGAATTGGGAATAAAGAGCTAGCCTGGGCTATGTAGGGAGTTCAAGACCAGCCTGGGCTATAGGAGACCCTGTCTCAAACAAAACTGAGGTCTGTAGGGATAATGACTCTAGAATTAAAGAGGATAACTAGTAACACACCTTGAACCCCCCAGCAAGGAGCCCCCCAACTCAGCAAGAAGTCCAACTTCTCCCTCCTGCAGGTCAGGCCTAGGAAAGGAGGGGCCTCTTGGGCTCCCAGACCTCATATATCCCCAGAGCTTCTAACTAAATAGAATTTACTTTACCTACAGCTTATAACCTCAGCTGGGTTTTAAGTACCCAAAAAGGACCTGAAAACGGGGAGTCTCTAGTAAAACGGGGTGGATCCCGAGTCTGGCAGATGTAGGTGGAACGGCTATGGAGGTCCTACAGGAGGGGCTGTACCCAAAGGCAGGACACTTTTCCTCAGGCCCTTTTACTTCTGGCTTGTTGCAAGAGATGCTCCCCCCCCACATACACCCCGCTCAGGCTCCGCCCATCTCCTGGCTCTACTCTCAGGGGACCGGGTCTCCAAGCTTTCTCTAATTAAAGATGATTTATACAACTCGAGTGTGGTCTGACATTTGTGAGTGGAGGGGGACCGCAGTTGTTCCGGGCGGGACCAAGACTAGAGGGCGGGGCGGGTGGGCTGGCGGCTGGTCCCCCGACAACAGGTGCACATTCCTGGGCGCCTCGTCACTTCCCCTGTCCTGGCGGCCTCGGCCGCTCTCCGGACAAACTCACTTGAGCGAAGCGGCAGGGCCATGACCTTTGGGGCGCTGCTGCTGCTTCTGGGGGTGCTCGGGGCACCCCTCGCCCCAGGTAAGTCAGTCTGGGCCCTGAAGAGGCAATGACAGGGGCAATGGTCGCGGCCAGCCACCGGAGGGTCACTTAGGGCTTTCCTTCGCCAGGCGCCCGCGGCTCGGAAGCCGAAGGCCGACTGCTTGAGAAACTTTTCTCGGACTATGATAACTCGGTGCGGCCGGCGCGGGAGGTGGGAGACCGCGTCGGGGTCAGCATCGGCCTCACCCTGGCGCAGCTCATCAGCCTGGTGAGGGCGCCCTGTGGGTGGAGGTCGCTGGGCGGGGCCGACTGGGGGCGGGGTCTGAGGTGAGATGGACAGGCCGTGGGCGGAGATCGGGTGGAAATAAGAACCAATGAACGAGCTCGTGGGCGTGGCCTATTTGCCGGGTCCTGAATGCTGCTGTTAACCCGCCCGTGGGCGGGGTTTGAGGCGGAGCTGAGGCCAAAGGACCGGCTAGGGGGAGGACCTCGAGGCGGGGCCGTGTTGAATTCCGGCCTGGTCCAGCAGAGCTGGGTGCTCAGGGAGTCCAGAACAGCCCGGGGCGGAGATTCTGTGGACTAGTCACTGGGTGTGGCCCGTGATTGAACCACGAGGTGAAAGGCAAGAGAAGCAGGGGCAAGATCTGGTGTTTCGAGGCAGAGGCAGGTGATACCCACTCACCTTCTATGAGATGGGGTTTGTACCCAAGAAGATGCAGCTTAGAGAAAGGGGGTAGATTTTTTTTTTGAGAAAGTGACCCCGAGCCTTCATTTCTTCCCACTCCATTTCATTTCTGCCTTAAAATTTTCCCTTCTAGAACGAGAAGGATGAAGAAATGAGCACAAAGGTGTACTTAGACCTGGTATGGAGACCCTGTGGGTTAGGGAAGGGCATCCTGCCACATTTTATTAATCTCTTGGAATGCTCAGTCCAGTAAGATTTTTTTTGTATAATGACTTCATAAAACATATATAATAACCGAAAAGGAAGCTTCTATAAACAATTCTTTCCTAACTGTTTAAAACACAAATTTGGCGTCATTATTTGTATTCTGATCCTTTAAAACCACGGTAGTAGAGGATGTCTAACACAGCCTCTTCAATTACTTTTTAATTTGTTTTATTTTATTTTATGTGTATGGGTATTTTGCCTGAATGCGTGTCTGTGCACCTCATGCATGCCTAGTGCCCATGAAAGCCAGAAGAGGGTGTCGGATTCCTGGAACTAGAGTTACAGCTGGTTGTGACTTTCTTGTAGGCACTGGGAATCAAACCTTGGTCCTCTGGAAGAGATTCAGGGCCATTACCCACTAAGTCATCTCTCCAGGCCCCCTATCTGATTTTAGAGACTAAAAAAAATAGAGTTGAGTGCAAGAGGAAGGAAACAGTTGGTGTGAATCCTAGAGACTGGAGGCAGAGCCAGAGCCCTTTCCCCTTGCCCCAGGTCAGGCCTGAGCTACTCTACTCCCCTTTGCACCCTATTCCTGGGTACCCTCTCTGACATCATAAGTCTCTCCCCGGCCTCTGGCCTGAGCAGCCCTTTAGCCTCTGTTCCTTAGGAGTGGACAGACTACAGGTTAAGCTGGGATCCTGCAGAACATGATGGCATCGACTCTCTTGGCATCACCGCTGAATCCGTGTGGCTCCCTGATGTGGTGCTAATGAACAAGTTGAGTCTTTCCAAAGCCTGAGGGCGCGTGGTGGGGCTGTTGTGAGGTGTGGCTGGGGAGGGTGTCCAGAAGACAGATCCAGATCCCATAGGAAAGGATCTCTTCCCTGCAGCAACGACGGAAATTTTGACATTGCTCTGGACATTAACGTCGTGGTATCCTCCGAGGGCTCTGTGCGCTGGCAACCCCCTGGCTTGTATCGCAGCAGCTGAAGCATCCAGGTTTCCAGGCTTTGTCTGTCCTCGGACTCCCTCACTCCCCAGCTGCTCCCAGTCCTGTATCCCTCCTCACCCTCACCCCTCGTTTGCCCCGACTTCCCATAGCCCTGCACACTTTCTTTGGTTTTCAGTCTTCCGTAGCAATTCTCTGCCATTTCCCCCATGACCCCTTCTCTTTTGTAACCGCCATCCAATGACCTCCCAACCTTCCCTAGTCCTTCCCAGTCCTCTGGCAGCTCCAGTGTCTTCCCCTCCATTCAGGTCACCTACTTCCCCTTTGACTGGCAGAATTGCACCATGGTGTTTAGTTCCTACAGCTATGACAGCTCTGAGGTCAGCCTGAAGACAGGCCTGGGTCCTGACGGGCAGGAGAGGCAGGAAATCTACATTCATGAAGGGACCTTCATTGGTGAGTAGCGGAGGGTCTCACGTCCAAGGGTGACAAACAAGCTCCGGTATCTATGCTCAGGGTACACGGGTGGGGTCAGCAAGGTGGGGATGACTAGCAACGCTGCAAATATGGACTCTGAAGCCAAGTGTGGTGACGAATACTTTCAATGTTAGCTCTTGAAAGGCTGAGGCAGGAGGATTGCTGCACATTCAAGGCCAGGCTGGACTACATTCAGAGACCTTGATCGATCGATCTATCTATCTATCTATCTATCTATCTATCTATCTATCTATCTTTCTTTCTTTCTTTCTTTCTTTCTTTCTTTCTTTCTCTCTCTCTTTTATTATTTATTTAGAGACAGGGTTTCTCTGTGTAACAATCCTGACTGTCCTAGAATTCACTTTGTAGATCAGACTGACCTCAAATTCACAGAGATCCAACTGCCTCTGCCTCCCGAGTACTGGGATTAGAGACATTGCCACCACTAGCCAGATGAGACACTGATTCTTAAAACAGTAAAAACCACACAGCAGTGTAAATCTGATGACTTGAATTTAGGCCCTGGAACCTGTGGTGGAAGGAGGGAACTCTCAAAAGTCCTCTGACGCGTGTGTACGCACGCGCGCACACACCACTATAATAATAATATTTTTATTAAAACAGAAAAGTATGGAAGTTGAGAGTGGTTTAAGTTTATTGGAGAAAGGCTGCCTAGCAGTGTGCTATCCCAGGCACTAACTGGACAGCTACTGCACCTGAGTTTGCCTCCTTTGTCCCCCGCTCCAGAGAATGGCCAATGGGAGATTATCCACAAACCTTCTAGGTTAATCCAACTTCCAGGAGATCCTAGAGGAGGGAAGGAAGGACATCGCGAGGAAGTTATCTTCTATCTCATTATTCGGCGGAAGCCCCTCTTCTACCTGGTCAACGTCATTGCCCCGTGTGTCCTCATCACTCTCCTGGCCATCTTTGTCTTCTACCTCCCGCCAGATGCAGGTAAACAGCGAGGGTCTCAGCTCCGGATCACCAGCCCAGCCTTTCCTCCTCACCTTTAGTCCAGGTTGGGTTGTTTTTTTTTTTTTTTTTTTTATTGCTTTGTTTTGTATTTTTAAGATGTATGCGTGCCTTTAATTCCAGCACTCGGGAAGCAGAGGCAAGCAGATTGCTGTGAGTTCGAGACCAGCCTGGTCTACAAGAGCTAGTTCCAGGACAGGCTCCAAAGCCACAGAGGAAACCCTGTCTCAAAAAAAAAAAAAGGAGGTGGCACACACCTTGTGAGTTCAGGGTTGGCCTGGTCTACAGAGAGAGAGTACAAAGTTACATAGAGAATCCCTGTCTCAAAAAAACTCATTAAAAAAAAAAACAAAAAACAAGCTGGGCTGTGGTGGCGCACGCCTTTAATCCCAGCACTTGGAAGGCAGAGACAGCCGGATCTCTGTGAGTTCGAGGCCAGCCTGGTCTACAAGAGCTAGTTCCAGGACAGGCTCCAAAACCACAGAGAAACCCTGTCTCGAAAAACCAAAAAACAAAACAAAACAAAAAACAAACAAAAGATGTATGTATGTGTGAGCCAGGCAGTGGTGGCAAGTTCCAGGACAGCCAGGGCTGTTATATGGAGAAACACTGTTTCAACCCCCTACCCCCGAAAAGGGGTGTGTGTGTGTGTGTGTGTGTGTGTGTGTGTGTGTGCATGGAGGTCAGAAGTGGGGCACTGGATCCTTTGCAGATGGAGTGCCAGGAGGCATTTGTGAGCCTCCTGAGGTGGGCCTTGGGAGCCGAACTCCAGTCCCCAGATAGAGCAGTGGCCTTGGGAGCTAAACTCCCGTCCTCGAATTGAGTAGTGGTCTAGTTTGTTTCTCTGTAGCTGTGATAAAAGACTTACGGGAACCAAGTTCTGGGAGGAAAGGGTTTTATTTGACTTACAGGTCACAGTTCATCAATGAGGATAGCCAAGGCAGGAGCTCAAGCTAAGTGAGCACAGACCATGAAGGAACACTGCTTACTGACTGGCTTCCCCTGACTTGTTCTGCTGGGCTCCTTTCTTTCCATGATCCAGGACACACCCCCCCCAAAATGGCACTGTCCATGATGGACTGGGCTCTCCTGCACCAATTAGCAAGTAAGGAAGTGCCCCCATACACACCCACGGGGAATTCCTCAGCTGAAGTTTCTTTTTCCCATATGTCAAATTGACAAACCGAGGCTAATCTTGACAAGCAGTACGTGTTCTGGACTACTGAGCTATCTCTCTAGCACCCAGGATAGTTTTCTTGCCAACTCAAACCCTCATGGGTTGGATATCAGCGATTCAAGGTTCCCCCATGCACAATTAAACCCCAATACAGGCCCTGCACCCCCTCTGCTGCTGGCTAGTCCTCACCAGTAACACGTTCACTCTTCCCTCTGGAGTCCCAGCCTCGCGTTCATGGAGTTCCCACGTCCACAACAAACCAAATTCCAAGCTAAGCCAACTTTCCTTTTTCTGTTTCTCATTCCTAGCAAATAACCTTCCTCCTCCCTTCAGACATCAACCGGTGCCTTAACTGGCAGTCTCCCTTTTCTCTATAAGGAAGTACAATATAGTAACAGGGTAACCCTGGTCAAATTCCATAATGACTGTGTGTCTGAGTCCCCTGGTCAGGAAATGGGACAGCCAATGTCCCTACTGCATAGAATTATTCTGAAGATTAACTGGGTTAATAAAACTATACCCAGTACCTAGCTGGATCTATGTAAATGTGTTTTTTTGTTTGTTTTTTAATTACTTTTGAGCAGTTGATGTAAGGCAATACAATAGAATTTTACGTATTAATACTAATCTTGACAATAACCTTTCAGGCAAGTGCCGAATTCTCATTCCCTTTTCTAGAGAAGGGTAAAGAGGCTGAGGGAGTCGATGCATTTGTCTGGTATCGTGTTCAGGTCAATACCAGTCCTACTTAGAGACCTTGCTTCTAGTGTTTCCCTCCCTGCACTCGGAAAGCTGAGGCAGAAGAATTACCAAGAGTTTGAGACCACTGAGTATGAGATTACCTGGAGCTTCCTAAGCAAGAGCCTGTCTCAAAAAAAAAATCAAAAAACATAGTAAGCAAATATGAAAACGAATAAACAAAACTCTGTATTGTCCTCATCTCTGGCATCAATCAAGTCCTCTATCCAGGAAGAGAGAGAGAGATGCAGTTGGAGAATACACTTCCAGGTCCAGGAGGAAGGCTCGGCAGGCAAGACGCTTGCTACCAAGCCTGAGGGCTTGAGTTCGATATGGAACCCACAAGTTGTTCTTGAATATCTCTAGGTGCCCTATGACAGGAACATGCGCACACACACGCGTACAATGTTAAAAAGAAAAGGAACCTACTTACAAGTATAATCACTCCTTTCTAGAACAGGGCAATCTTGAAACCTAATATTACAGGACCAAAATAGAGCGAACCATATGGCTTATTTCAATACCTTTCATGAAGTTTATAAGGCCTCTTGTATGACACAGAAAGAACTGGCCTCTTTTGTATACCGTTTTATTTTTAGATTCTTCGATTGCTATATTGTTCTTGGAAAAACTACAGAGGTTGGTCTATTCATTCATGCAACTATATCTGTGGAATTCTGTGATATGCTAGGCACTGCAATGCATCAGGGAATAAAAATAATAAAATTGATTGGCTGTAGCTCAGTGGTAGGGGTCTGGAGTAGGTATAGGCAGAGCTGGTCTGCCATATAAGAAGCCCTGGATTCCATCCCTAGCACTGCGGGGAGGGGGCATAGCAAGAGACGTAGTATAGTTGGTAGAATGTTTACCTTGTATGCATGCATGAAGCCCTGAGTTCAGCCTCCAGAACCCATCTGTAAACAAACAAACAAACAAACAAACAAGAAAATAAAACCATCAACCTTCCTCAGTCTACATTCTAGTGGGGAAGTCAGTCAACAAACTAATGTTTACTGTCATACATTAGAAAAGGACAAGTTTTTTGTTGCTATTGTTGTTTTGTTTTGTTTATCAAGACAAGATTTCTCGGGGCTGGAGAGATGGCTCAGAGGTTAAGAGCATTGACTGCTCTTCCAGAGGTCCTGAGTTCAATTCCCAGCAACCACATGGTGGCTCACAGCCATCTATAATGAGATCTGGTGCCCTCTTCTGGCATGCAAGCATACATGGAAGGAATGTTGTATACATAATAAATAAATAAATAAATAAATAAATAAATAAATCTTAAAAAAATTTCTCTGTAGCCCTGGCTGTCCTGGAACTCACTTTGTAGACCAGGCTGGCCCTGAACTCAGAGATCTGCCTGCCTCTGCAACCTAAATGCTGGTTTTAAACGTGTGTGCTACCATGCCTGACTTCTAGACAAATTTTAAAAAAAGAAATAAAACAGGAAGGGGTTTAGGAAGATTAAAATGGGAGTGGACTCCTATATACTAGCTCTCAGAGACAGGAGAATCAAGAGTTTGAGGCTAGCCTAGGTTACACAAAGAGTTGCAGGTCACTCTCAGTACAAAGTGAGGTCTTGTCTCGAAAAAGAGCTAGGAATGTAGCTGACAGGGAAAAGTATTTGCCTATTCTGCATGAAGCCTTTGACCCCTCTCAGAGAATAAACTAGACATAGTAGCAAAACTCTGTAATCCTAGCCCTTGGGATGGGGCTGAAGGTAGAAAGACCAGAAGTTCAAGGTAATCCTTGTTAAAGGAGAGATGGCCTGCTTTTCGTCCTGGCCGCCCAGCTAGCTTAACCCCCAAAATAATTCCACAGAAACTATATTCATTTAAACACTGCCTGGCCCATTATTTCCAACCCCTTATTGGCTAACACTCACATGTTAGTTTAACCTATCTCCATTAATGTGTATCACCAATTGACTATGGCTTAAGAGCATGAGTCCAACCAGCGTCCGTCTCAGAGAGGAGAGCCATGGCGTCTGCCACACTGCCTTCTTCCCAGCATCCAGTTCTCTTTTCCACGCCTATCTAAGTTCTGCCCTATCAAAAGGCCAAGGCAGTTTCTTTATTCAACCAATGAAAGCAACACAAATACAGAAGGACCTCCTACACCACATCCTCTGTGAATTGTGAGTGCAAAGCAAGCCTAAGACATGTGACATCTGGTCTCAAAAATTAAACAGACCTGGAGATGTGGCTCAGCTGATTAAGGCATTTGATGCCAAAGCTGAAACAGCTTTGATGGTGAGGGAATTAGGTTGTAGCCAGGTTAAGTTTGGGATTCTGTTTTATATTCAACAGAAAAGTTGAGTAGGCATTTGGATGGAAGCCTGAAGTTCAGAGGAAATTTGGGCTGGAGGAACAAACAGCAGAGATTTGTAAACAAATGGCTTTCCCAAAAGCCTACCCTTAGGTTGGAAACATGACCATTGATTATGCCTTAGAGGCTTCCTTCTCATAAAGACTAATACTTCTGGTAGTGTGTTAGCCCATGCATTTAATCCCAGCACTTGAGAGGCAGAAGTAGGAGGATCTCTGTGAGTTTGAGGCCAGCCTGGGCTACACAGCAAGTTCCAGGCCAGTCAGGACTATATAGAGAGTTCCTGTCTCGATAAAATAAAATGTGGGTTTTTTGTTTGTTTGTTTGTTTGTCTTTTGTTTTTTAAAAAGGGACTGATTCTGGTTTCTCCTCTGCCTTTCAAGGAGAGAAGATGGGGCTTTCCATCTTCGCCCTGCTGACCCTTACTGTATTCCTGCTGCTGCTGGCAGACAAAGTGCCTGAGACCTCCCTGGCAGTCCCCATCATTATCAAGTATCTCATGTTTACCATGATCCTCGTTACTTTCTCAGTCATCCTTAGCGTTGTGGTCCTCAACTTGCACCATCGCTCACCCCACACCCACCAAATGCCCTTTTGGGTCCGCCAGGTAAGAGAGATCTCCAACATGGCTTACTTCCTGTTCTTACAATCAACCCGGTATGGGAAAGAATGAGGCTAGCCTGGGCTACACAGTAAGGCCCTGTCTGCAAATGACAGAACAAAAAATATTAAAAGAAGGAAGAGCATCCTTGTGTTTGGCTTTGTGTCCAGAAGCTGCTCCACCCACCAGGCTGGACTCAACTCCAGCTGGCATGTGTTGAAGTGCAGAAGCCTGCTGGATGGTGGAACACCACACAGTTCATTCTGCCTTCCCATCCTCATTGCTTCCTGGGTCCTGCATGCCCTTCATCCATTCTGCTCATTCAGAGGGCCAGGGAAGCCTCAGTATAAATGCCATCAGGGTGGAAGACTTTTGAACCCTTAATTTTTCAGGACAACTCCCAGCCCTTTGTTTTGTTTTGTTTTGTTTTGAGACACGGTTTCTCTGTGTAGCCCTGGCTGTCCTGGAACTCACTCTGTAGACCAGGCCATCCTTGAACTCAGAGATCCACCTGCCTCTGCCTCTTGAGTGCTGGGATTAAAAGTGTGAGCCACCACTATCAGCATAAAAGAGCTCTTAAAAAATGATTTATGTGGATGAATATAAACTACTATATGAGCCTGGTGCCTGAGGAGCCCCGAAGAGATCAGACGCCCAAACCGAAGCAGGATCCTCTGGAAAACCTTAACCACTGAGCCATCTCTCCAACCCTCATTAAAAATCTCTTAAGCAGCAGTGTCATGGTGGCAGAGGCAGGCAGACCTCTGAGTTCAGCCTGTGCAGCCAGGGCTACACAGAGAAATCCTGTCTCAGAAAGAAAGCATTGTAAATTGTGCAGTTACATTTCTGTCAATGTAGCTCGGTGGGTCCATGAGTGCATATGCACGGGAATGAGCCCGTGGAGTGGAATAGATCGCTGCTTCCAAGGAGGCTGGAAAGCATTAAAGCCCTCAATATGCCACTTCCATAGATCTTCATTCACAAGCTCCCACCATATCTGGGGCTGAAAAGGCCCAAACCCGAAAGAGACCAACTGCCCGAACCACACCACTCTTTTCCTCCAAGAAGTGGCTGGGACCGAGGAACTGATGAATATTTCATCCGGAAGCCTCCAAGTGATTTTCTTTTCCCGAAACTTAACAGGTAAGACCTACACGCATCAGTCACTTGGGCAAGGGAGAACTACAGCTCCCAGAAGACCGTGGAAAAGCTCCCAGAGATAGTGTTGTCTAGCATCATGGGAGTTGTAGTAACCCGGATGCGGCTTGCTTTTCGAGAAGGTGGCATTTTTAAAGAACCAGAAGTTTGAGAAAGTCTGGAGAGCTCTGTGCTGGCAGGGAGATCAGGAAGGGTTTCCTCAGGTTTAGGGAAATACAAGGCTATTGGAGGAGGCAGCTGGAGTAGAGTCTAGGCCACCGGAACTGCTTCTTCTCTTTGAACCCAGTGTGTGGCTAAACAGTTTCTCCCCTTATAGGTTTCAGCCTGAATTATCTGCCCCGGACCTGCGACGATTTATCGATGGCCCAACCCGTACTGTAGGTCTGCCTCAGGAGCTACGCGAGGTCATTTCTTCAATCAGCTACATAGCCCGACAGCTGCAGGAACAGGAGGACCACGATGCAGTAAGTCCAATGAGGTTGAAGCCCGCAGGCTCCACCCCAAAGCTCAAGCTCCGCCCCTAGCAGTCGCTTCCGTTTCTGATTGGAAGTGTGTTTGTTTTTCTCCCTCCTCCCGCTTGCTAACTGGCTCTTTCATAGCTATCTGGTGGCCTGGTTCTTGAGCTAATTGCCCTTTTCTGTAAGGGGTGGGCTTTACAGGGCTCCGGCCCTGGAGCTTTATTATTATTTTTTCCTGCCTACCCTTAGCTGAAGGAGGACTGGCAGTTTGTGGCTATGGTTGTGGATCGTCTTTTCCTCTGGACATTCATCGTCTTCACAAGCGTCGGGACCCTGGTCATTTTCTTAGATGCCACGTACCATTTGCCCCCTCCTGAACCTTTTCCTTGAAGACCCGAGGACCTTTTTTTTACCAACAGTGGCAGGAGCTCTCAAGATGCAACCACTCCTGTAAGAATCTAGTTTCTAGGAAGGCGCTGAAGTGGGACTATGGCTAGGAGGCAGGTGCCTTGGACCCACTTGAAATGCCATTATTTAGGATTTCGTCTGCTGGGTTTTTTGTTTTTGTTATTTTTGAGACAGAGTCTCACTCTGTGGTCCAGGCTAGCCAGGAACTATGTATCCCAGGCTGGCCTCAAACTCCCAGCAATGTTACTTCCTTAACCTACCAAGTGTTGGGACTACAGGCCTGGTGAGCCAGCACACATGGGTTTGGATTCTTGAAGCTACACTGAATTGTAGCTTGGGTCTCTAATGAAATAGAATTACAAGTCATAAGTAATAGATTGTAAGCCTTTTGAGGACAGGAAATGTGTTGGCTACTCTGATGTCCCTAGCTTCTAGCCTATGAGTGCTTAACATTCATTTCATGAAGAGAGGGGGAAAATTCTGAAATATATAAAAATACTGCCTACAATAGAATGTTGTAATTAATCATTTTTGTCTTTTTAACTTTCTATAATTTATATATTTTTGTAACATTTGCCACCTTTAGATTGAAAAGTTATTTCTTAAAGGTCTGCATTTGCAATGAGGAAACATTAAAATCAAAACAAAAAAAATCTTTAAAGTGACTGGGAGGTGGTGGCACACACCTTTAATCCCAGCACTTGGGAGGCAGAAGCAGGCAGATCTCAGAGTCTGAGGCCAGCCTGGTCCACAGTGCAAGTTCCAGACCAGCCAGGGCTACACAGGGAAACTTGTTTTGAAAGCAAAACAAAACAAAACAAAAAGAAGATCCAAGAGTGGTAGTGAATGCTTGTTATACCAGAACTTGGAAGTCAGAGGCAAGGGGATTCAAGGCCAAAGTCTGCTACATAGTGAATTTAAGACCAGTCTAGATTGAGAGAATGAGTGGAGGGAGGGAGGAAAAAAGGGAGGGAGGGAGGGAGGGAGGGAGGGAGGGAAGGAGGGAGGAAAGAAGGGAGAGAGAGAGAGGGAGAGAGGTCTCATTTTCTCATTTATTTAAGTCAGGCATAGTGACTCATACTTAGAATCCCAGTATTGGAAGGCTGAGGCAGGATTGCTGTGGGTTTCACCCCGGTTAGGCTACAGAGCGAGAGCCTGTCTCACACAAACAACCTTATTCAAGTTCTAATTTTGGCACACATACAACTAAACTACTCAGAATGTTTCTATATCTGTAAAATGAAGCAGAAAGTAGTATATGCCCATAGGGAATTCATATGTCACAGCTTTGAAATGGTGTTTTATTTTGTATTTGTTTTTGTTTTGCCTGTGTTCTTGAGCTTACAATATTTATTGGTTTGTTTTGGAATAGTTGAAATTGAATCTAGGTCCTTGCAAACAATAGGTAACTACTTACCAACCCTTATTTTTCCTTCATTTTTGAGCTCATGGTTTTGATATCGTTGCTTGAGACAACTTTGAACTCTTGATACTTTCGCCTCTTTTAAGTACTGGGATCATGGGCATAATCCACCAAGCCTGCTTTGTTTTTAGAAACTGGGTCTTAGTAAGTTGTACAGTCTGGCCGTCAGATTACTATACAGCCTTTAACATTCCATCTTCTTGCATTTGGAGTAACTGGGATTAGAGGTATGCATCACCATGCCCTATTGGCAGTTTTGTTTTGGTTGTTTTTGAGACAGGGTTTCGCTACGTAGCCCTGGCTAGCCTAGAATGTATGTAGTCGAGGTTGGCCTCAAACTCACAGAGATCCACTTGCTTCTGCTTCCTGAGTGCTGGGATTAAAGGCGTATAATTTTAAATTTGAATTAAGGGCTGGAGAGAGATGATTCTGAGGTGAAGAACACTGGCTGCTCTTCTAGAGAACCATGGTTTGATTCCCACACCCACATATGTAACTCTAGTCCCAGGGGATCCAACACCCTCTTTTCTGGTACAGTACTCCTGTGGTGCACCCACAGGCAAACAAAACACACATGAAATTAAAGGAAAAATATGGGAAGCTTGGTACCTTTAAAATGTGTGTATTTCACAGACATTGGATTTCAGGCTCCTCTTGAAAATGTTTACACAACTCCAGCGATACTATACCTGCAGCTGCTGTTGGCGGCAACCCGCTAGGGCTTCTCAGTGGCTGTCCACTCCGGCCAGGGAGCTCTCGCCAGAATTCCTGGAAGCTCCCATCTACCCTACCAGCCTTCCTTATGTTCCCAACCACCCCTGCACAACACAGGAGGAATACACAGCAGGCAAGACGAAGCCAGTGAGGACACTAGTGGAAGAAGGGCTCTGATGGCTACGCTACAGTTTCTGCACCCATGTACCTTCAAACTAGAAAAAGAGTAGGACCTGGTTTAAGGCAAAGGTTATGCTGGGACTCAGAAGTCTTGAGCCTAGCTCTTGTACTCCTTGAGGATGTTTCTAGAGGCGGCGGCACTGCATTCTGAGAAAGTGGCCCATGAAGCCCAGACTAGTGTGGAATTCTATGTGTAGCTGAGGATGGCCCTGAACTTCTGATCCTCTTGCGTTCACCTCCCAAGTGCTTGTATTAGAGGTGCGTGCCACCGTGTTGGACTGAGAAACAAACCCAGGTTTTCCTGCATGCTAGGCAAGCTCTCAACTGAGCTACAGCCCAGCTCCTGAGTCAATGTCTCTACCTGGAGGTCAGATCAAAGTGAGCAAGCTTCTAAGGGCTACACAATTACAGTGAAACACCTGGAGTTGACAAGCCTCACATCAACTCAATTGCTAGACATCCGTCCTGGGAGGGAGACTAGGCTACAGGTCTCGGGATCCCTGCCCCCACAGCCACCAGCCACACAAACCACCAAACCTGGCACCCACTGAAAGCGCAGTTCATTTGTCTTGTTGGTTTATTGGCCTAGAGAATTGGAAACACACACAAATCTGGAGATAAATATTGGTCAGTTTCTCTAAATCTGGGTCCTCACTACGTACAGAGCTAGAATTCTAAATCTTGCGTGCTGTGGTACAGAACCAGTGGCCTTCTCACTCTTGCCCTCTTCCCAGGGAACATGAGGAAAGAGGGCACACGCTGACAAGACTTGATCATTTTCAAATGACAAAATCCAAAATTCACATATTGAAACCTAAAACTCACATATTGAAACTTTCCAGCTCAAATACATATTGTTAAGTTTCTGCTTTTGCCATAACTTTGTTGCCAAATCCTGGGAGCTATTCTCCTTACCCACATTAAAAAACAAAATAAACACTTATAATCTCGATTCTTTCAAAAGGTGCGTGGTTTTGGAATTTTGATCTATTCTGAAATTCAAATTCCACAGTCCATTTTCACCCCTTCTACTCTCCTGACTTCCTCAGAGGAGTACAGCTGAAGGGGACAGGAGACTTGTCATAGCTGCCCCTGCCTTCAGGCCTTCCTCAGTCTCTCTTGTGGTTCCGCTGTATATATAGATATATTTATATATATAATTTGTGTGTAGATATATATAGGTATTCTTTATTATGTATTTTTTTGCAGTTTTTCTAAAGTGCCTGAAATAAGATTTATGGGAATTTTTAGTGATTTTTTTTTTCATTTTTCATTTCCCCCATTTTTCCCTGTTTGAAACTTTTTCCCCCTTAAAAACTGGAACTTGGTACATTCAGTAGGAAATTCTTCACTCAGGCTGTGGCCAAGACCAAGAAAAGTGCAAAAAGACAGAGGAGGACTGGAGCGGCCCCTCTAGGATTAACATTCAGGAAGCCTGTCCAAAACCTCCCCCTTCCTATGTACTGGGAGGTTAGGAAGGGGCAGGAAGATGCTCCTGGCCTTTCCAAACTCATCTCCCTCCAAAGCCATGATCTTGCCCTCTCCACAGTAGGTCAGAGGGCAGCCATCTTGGCCCCAGAAAACAGTAGCTGACAGAAAGGCTGTCATTTTGATTAAAACAGTCTTTCTCTTTTTAAAAGTCATGCTCCTCTAATTCCCACATCAAAGTTGCTCCCCTCAACTGGCTCTCCCCTTGTGAGATTTTTTTTTGTGGGGGAGGTGTGGTGGGTAATCACACATTAGGGAGGCCCCATTTTCCACAAGAATTAGGAACAAACCTTTCTTTATCATCCCCACTGGAAGGAAACATAGGACCCCTGACCAGGGTTAACTAGTGCAAATTAGGGATTAGGGACTATTTAAAATCCCTGCACCCCATCCCTAGGCTGGGATCTTTGGGTGTGGGGAACTGAGTCAGAGATGGGGTATAAGGTGCTATTTTGGAGGCATAGTTGGTGGGGATACCCCAAAGCCCACCGGAAGAGAAGGATGGCGCCCTCGAAACCATGTGGAGTGACTGGCAGGACAGTGACACTGGAGGAGATAAGGTAGAGGCAAGGGTGGAGGGTTTATCACACATGAACCCCCACCACCACCACCACCGATTTTCTGGCTATTTGGTCTAATCTAGAAACCATAGTGAGGGCTGGCAGGGGGAGAGTCGTCTCTTCATCCTACATGGAGTGCTTCAGACATGGTGCTCAAACTCGGTTTAGCCCCAAAGAAGCCATGTATAAAGGCCAGAAGAGATATGATCTATTCACCTCTTTCATCTTAGAAGAATCTGGAGTCACTGGATTTGGGGGTAAAGGTAGGGCCCAAGATTTCCCTGCCCTGTACTGAAAAAGTGCTCGGCTTGTAGAACACCTCCCACCTCCTTTTGACCTGGATTGGGTTAGGCCATCTCCAAAGTCTAGGAGCACAGGAAGGAATATGGAAGATCCAAAGGCATGGAAGCCAAGGAAGCATGGCATCGTAATATGAAAGAAACAAGGACAGAGAAACCCACCCTTGGGAAGAACGGAATCCAAAGCCATGCTTCCAGGCTATTGGGTGGATATCACAATGGTCTGGTCCAGGCCCTGGGCCACAAAGAATGGAATGTGCTAGGAAGCATGGGGGAAGGGCTTAGAGAGAGCTTCAGAACAGCAGGCATCATTAGGTGAGCTTCCCCAGGTTTACAAATCAGGGGAGCAGGTTAGACATTCAGAGCTGGTGGGGGCTGTAAGTAGAGATTCAGATAAGTATATTGCTCAGTTGCCCCAAGGGCTGGAGAAGGGATGGGAGCTGGCTCTTCCCCTCACAGGGGCCATTCCCTGGAAAAGACTGAGAGGAGAACCACCAAAAATCCCTTTTCAGGGGGTGGGGAGACTACAATCACACAAAGCAGCCTGACTCCTGAGCTCCAGGGGCCCCCAAATCCCTGCACTAGAGTGTTATGGGGCTCCCAAGGGGCAGGGAAGCCAGGGAGCTGATAGTGGTGGGGGCTCGGGGAGGGTGGCATCTGGTGAAAGGGGATCTGGCCTTAGTGCTCACCCCACATCTCCCTTTTGGGTTCTCTCAACCCCTGCCGGATCCCCTATTCCCTTAGGGGGAACTGGCAGAGGAAGAGCTGGGGGAGGTGGAGTTGGTGGAGTAAGGGGGGCTGCTTGAGGATTCACTGCGTAGCCAAAGACCCCTGGCAGGAAGGGAAGGGCCCCACCCCCCTTCTCATCAGGTAGGACCATGTTGAGAGCAACTGGGAGAGCAGCCAAGTTGCTGAAGTTGTAAGGGTAGGCAGCAAGGAGCTGGGGGCCATAGACAAGTGGGTACGGTTCAGGGTAGAAGGTGACTTTGGCAGTCCCCAGCCCCTCCACCCGGTCTCCCTCAGAAGCTCCCACTGGCCCCTCATTCCCAGGTTTTCCTCTGCCACCACAGGGCTCCCGGCTGCCTCCTATCAGGGCCAGGGGAAATTCCTGCACAGGTGGGTACACATAGTTGCCCCCAGCTGCTACTGGGGGCTCCTCACCCCCAGAGATGACAGGGTCTTGGAGAGAGGCAGTTTCAGGGGCTGCTGCAGCTGCAGCAGCAGCACTGCCAGCCTCCCCACTTGAGGAAGACACTTGCATCTCTTGGGGGGCCTCCTCCTTGATCTCAGTGGGCCTGATGCCAATGCTGCCTTTGGAGTAGGCAATGACAGGTGTGGGAGTGCCCCCAGGTCGCTCCACAGCATGCCTCTGCCCATGTCGGTTCAGGGCAGCTGCCGTCTTGCACACCTTGGCACAGTGGGGGCAGGTGAATCGGGTGGAAGACCTCCTCCCAGTCCTGGAGCCGTGGGAGCCCCCATTGTGGGCTTCCTGGTGCTTCCTCAGCTTCCTCAGGGTGGCAAAGGTCTGGGCACAGTCCCCACAACGGTGTCTACGCTCACCACGTGCTCGTCCTCCTGGGCCCTCCACTGATGGGGTCTCCTCCCAGGCCCTTCGTTCCAGCTTCTGCTTCCAGCGTGGTGGTCTTCGTCCTCCTCGGGGCAGTCCGCTGACCCCGCTGAGGCCACCGACAGTAGTGCCAGCCTTGCGCTTAGGCTTGTATGAATAATAGGGCCTCCAGAGCTGATCTTCTCCTCCAGCCTTGGATTCCTCCTGGTCCTCCTCCTCCTTGTCCTCGTCATCATCCTCTTCCTCACTCTCCTCTACATCTTCTCCACTCAGCTCTCCAGGACGAAGGTCAGTTTCTGAGATGCGACGCTTGACAATGGCTTCCTCCCCAATTCGCACAGTGATCTGACACAGTGGAGGTGGAGCCTGAAGCTGAGAGGAGCCTCGGCCTGTCCCTGTGGGGGAACCCCCACTCCCACTAACCCCACCCACGGGTTTGGCTGTATAAGTCAGAGTCCTCCCAGCCCGCAGATTCCGGCCCTTGGCCTCCTCAGTGGCTGAGCCTGGCCCTGCAGCTGTGGCTGGACTGGTGGGTGTTGCTGCAGGCTCAGGGGGAGGAGGTGGGTACTCTCGTTTCTTGGGGGGTCTTGGGGGAGTCGTATAAGTGATGACTGAGGCAGCTTGGGACCCTCCTGTGCTGGCTGGCCCACCCCCGGCTCCACCACTGCTACTGCTCCCATGGACAATGACAGAGGGAGCTGGGTGAGCAAAGGCGATGACAGAGGGGGGAGGGCCAGGCTCTGGGGCAGGTGGGAGCAGGAGTGGGGGGCTGGCTGGCATTGCTGCAGGGATCGGTGTGTGGAGGCTTGGAGAAGGAGGGGCCTCAGGGGCTCCCTGACTGTAGGTCTTGTATGGCCGCTTGGCTGCCCGCATGGGGAGCAGGCGGTACAGCTTGAGGGTATTAAGCTTGGGCTTGTAGCCTCCATTGGGTGTCTTCTCACTGGCTAGGAGGCCGGGGCTAATGCCATGGAAGGCTCGCTGGTGGGTCTTCAGGTTATAATAGGTGACAAAGGTTTCCCAGCAGAAGATGCACTGGTACCTGGGCCAGGACAGCAGGGAACAGGGCAGGAACAGAGCCACTTGAGTTAGAGGCCCTGAAGACAGGGCCTCATCTTGCCCCGTCACCTGCAGCCCTCAAGCTTCTAACTCCCCCAGCAGCCTGCCTAGCCTCCCTTCTACATGCTGCTTGCTGGACCCTGCTAGCCTCTGGGGCAGAACCAGACCAAGCTCAGCACCCTGCCTCTGGCTAGCTTCAACTCTCAGCCTCAGCTGTTCTGTTGTGAAATGGTGACAGCCACATATTTTAGCCTTCAAAATGCCTTCTGTGCTACAAACGACAGAATGAGCATGCTAAGGGAAAATCAGGTGCTGTTCTGCATGCTCTAAGTCCCAGTAGGCAGGCCTGTACTCCCACAGTCCTCTCCTGCAAGGGCAAACTTCCCTTTCCATCCTAGCTTTGCCCACAGCACAAGCCTGGATGGGCAGGCAAGATGCTGGCATCAGGTGAAGGAACTGGGGTTGGAAGGAGGCAGGTGGTGGCAGCGAGCCGGGACCAGGACAAGAACAGATCCCAGTGTGGATAGATGGCTTTCTAGACCCCCGCACTCTGCCCGCCCCTCCCTTGTCCACCTGAGGCCACTCACCTGCGCTCCCCGGTGTGCCACACCTCGTGCTTGGTGCGGTACTCAGCCAGGGCAAACACCTTCTCACAGTAGCGGCAGGGGTACTTCCTCCGCCACGAATGGACATTGCTGTGCCGTTTCAGGCTGGACAGGGTCACGTAGGAACGCTCGCAGGCCGCACACACATAGAGCACATGGCCGCCCACCACCTTCACCACATGCTCAGGGCCATCTCTGAAGCCCACTGGTGCTGGCAGGGTTGAGGCATCCACTCCTGCAGGCCCTCCAGGGCCAGGGGCCCCAGCTCCTAGGCCTGCAGACCCCTGAGGGTTGGACCCCCGTCGACACTGGGCCTCGTGTGTCTGCAGCCGCTTGGGATGGATGAAGCTTTTTCCACATCGAGGGCAGAGAAAGGGCCTCCGGGACAAGGAGGGCTGTGAGTCAGGAGCCTGGGCCTCAGCTTTGTTACCCTCCCACTGGCCATCTGCTCTAGGTCCTGGCCCTAAACCATGCTCCTCAGGCTGTGAGGAGGCCAGGGGAGGAGCAGGAGGTACCCACGTATCGCCTCCTTCCCCCAGGCCCTGTAGGCGGGAGATACCCAGCCGCCGCCCCAGAGCTCCAATCTCAGCCACAGATGCCCCATCCCCTCCCCCACCAGGGAGTGCAAGCCGGGCACTATAGATGAAGTTGAGGACATCGGAAAAGGCAGCTGCCGGGACACCGGGCAGCTCTAGGACCCGTGGAGGGGTTGAAGAGTGAGGAGAGGCTGGAGGGGGAGAGGAGGAAGAGGAAGAGGCAGCTGCGGTGGTTGCAGGGCTGGGAGCTGAGCCACCAGTGACCGGTGGGAGGGGCAGTGGAGCTGAAGCTAGTAGGGCATCTCGGAAGAAGGGACTAGAGGCAGCCAGGACGCTGCGGTGAGCAGGGAACTTGGTGTCTCCAGCTATGAGGGTGACATCACAGAAGAGGCCACGGAGCCGCTGCTCATTGAGCTGATGCAGGACAGCAGGGGCATGGGACGGATCCGTCACCTCTGCAGGGGGTGGCATGGTGCCAGCCTGGACGTGGGGAAGAGAGGCCAGGGAGAGTCTCAGAGGCTGACTGAGCTGAGGTCAGGAGCCTCAGAGGCTAGGGAGAAGAATGGAGGACAGTTAGAGGCTGGCCAGAATCTGCTGGAAGGCGGAATACCTCAGGTCACAGAAGTCATGGTTAACACTAAGCCATCCAGAATCAAACCAGTGTCTAAGACCACTATGTCTAACATCTGGGTCAGAAGAGGCCAGGGATACCCCAGGTCGCAGTGACAGTCAAGTGGTCATGACCTCCAGACTCACAGTAAGCAGTAGAAGGGGGAGGCTTGCCACACCCAACCATTTTCAGTACTGGACAAAATGGCTGCCCTGTTGGCCTCCTACTTTAGGTCTACTTTTTCCTAGCTGTAGTCCTCCCCAGCACCCTCTCACCTGAGAACATAGCCAGCATGGAGCAGAGCAGCGGCTCAGCAAGTTCCTTCAGCCTGGCCTTTTCCTTCTGCAGAGAAACAGAAACCGCGTCAGAAATCAAGAACAGGATAGGGTCCTCACAAGGAGACTACCCAGGATGTGGGCATCAGTACTTCAAAGTCACAGGCACAGAGGCTGCTCTGAAGACCCTGATCCCTCCCAGGAGCCTGTCAGGCTGTCTGGACAAATCCAATCAGACCAAGGAGGTCACAGATTACCGCTGAGCCTTGCTCCGCTGGCCCCAGAAAGACAATTTGCATTATCCCCAGTGCACCTCCACAGGGCACAGTTCGACCCCACAGGCTCTGGACCGCCTCACAGAGGACTCTCTAATCCCTTTGGCCCAATCTCGAGCCTCAAAGAAATCAAAGATTTGCATTTTTTAAAATCACAATGGGCTTCTTTACACATCAAAATAGAGCCCATTCCCCTATTAGTCCATTGGCTAGCCTGATGAGATTTTCCCATCAGGAGTGTGCCTCCTCTGTGTGCTGCAGTCCCAGAATCTTAGTGGGGGCTCTCTAGCCCAAGTACCAGGTGACCCCTGCTTGCTCTAGTCCCTAGCAGCCCCCGGAAAGGTAGCCACAGGAAGGGTGAGGTGAGGGGCTTTAGGTCCTGCTCCTTACTCTGAGACCTTTGGCTTGTGGATCTTTAAAGCTGGGGGTCCCTACTTCACCTCTTGCTGAGAGGGTCATCGTGAGGTATGACAGTCACAAGTGAGCGTTTCACAGCCGTGCCGGGCACTGCAAGTCTTAGGTCCCCATTTTCCGTTGAGGATCTGAGTTCCAGAGTCAGGCACGTTTCTATCCAAAGTCGCATGTCTGGTAACAACAGCAGAGACTGCCTGGGTCCTCCTCATCCACCCTCGATGCAGCCAGGAAGTTCTGGCTCCTCCCACATGTCACGGGTCACACATATCCTCATTAGTGTCCCACATCAAAAGCTCTTCCTCTAATTCTCATCACCCCCAAAATGTTCCCTTCTCATTGATTGCCCATAGTATCGAGGATGATAGCTGTTCCAGGCAAGAAGAAGGAAGGTGGTAAACCGGACAATAGTCCAACGCTGTAACCACGGCGCCAGGCGCAGAACAAGAGCCTAAGTGTTGTCCCATTTGTTGCGGCACTGTGGCTACGGTGAGAGCTCTGGGGAGGGAGCCCACCTCATCCGCTGTCTGCACGGCATGTGTCTACTTCCTCTGTGATGGCCTCAGCACGGTGTTTGCACTATCTCATCACGTGAGGTGGCTTCCCCACTTTAAGATGGTAGGGGTTCAGGCATGCTATGAAGCTTGCTCAAGGCTGGCCAGCCAGTTAGTAGTTAGCCTGGGATCAGACCCTATGAAGTCTGGCTTCAACGCCCGCAGTGACTTCAGAACAGCGTGATGAAGGATGTTAGCCCCCACAGAACACAGCCAGCCTACTCAGAACTTCTGTGAAAATTAGGTGATTCCTTCTCCTAGGAAGCCATGCAAAGATGAGCAAAGTCAGTTTGGTTCCAGTCCCCATTCACCTCTGAGGCCAGCCAGGCCTGCCACCCTCCCTGCACCACTTCACAAGACGGGTGCCGGCAGGTGTGCACCCGTGTGTGGACTGCCATGGTGTGGGACAGAGCCTGTTGGTGCTTCTTAGAACTGGCCTGGCCCTTAACTGTCATCCAAAATCATTATCACTACACGCTTTGGAGTGCCATTTACTTATGGTCAACGTATAGCAAAATATGTTCTGCCCACCATCTCATTTTAACCACTGTGAAGAAGTTAGCCACTGCAAAACTCATCTTCGGGTCAGGGGGTGTACCCGTGTGGTTATCTGATCCTGGAGTTTAGACCAATTCAACTGACTCCTCACTGATCAGTGCCCTCAAGGGGTGGTGGGAGATGGCGACACTAGCTACATGATCCTGAAAAAGTGACCTCTATATCAGTGTCCTTGTCTGTATGGAGAGGGTGATAACTAGTTCCCACTGTGCAGGGTGGTAAGGGAGGCTCAACCAAACGGGTCAGCGCTGTTCCAAAGTGCTGCTCCTCTACTGAACACACACAGACTTTACTCTCTTCTGACCAGTCTCTACACAGCACAACAGAACAACTATTTAAACAGATGTGGTGGAACATGCTTGTAAGCACAGCACTGGGAAGGAGAAGCAAAAGGACCACAGCAAGCTCACTGCCAGCTGATCTACATATCCAAAATATCAGGCCAGCAGAACCATTTAGGAGAACTCTGAATCAAAGCAAACAAAGTAAAATAAAACAAACACTCCCAAAACTATTCATGTGGAATGTGTGTGATATTAAACATTTTAAGAGATAACAAAGTAAATGGGAGGATGTATATAATTTAGATGCAATTACTATGCCATTTTGTTTGAGACAGGGTCTTATGTAACTCAAACCTTGAAGTGATCAAGGATGATCTTGAACCCCTTCCTGATCGTACCCAGTGCTGGGATTATAGAAATACATCATTTTATATTTTATATAAACAACTTTTTAACACCTAAGGATTTCAGTACCCATGGGGCACTCTGGAAGCAACCTCTCATGGTTACCCAGGGATGACTGTACCTCGTCTTGGAACTTAGTCCTGGAGAATAAGGAAGAAAGTGATGAAGAAAAAAAAAGGCAGGGCTGGAGAGATAGCTCAGAAGTTAAGAGCACTGACTGCTCTTTCAAAGGACCTGAGTTCAATTCCCAGCACTCACATGGTGGCTCACAACCATCTGTGACCTCCTGGCATGCAGGCATACATGCAGGCAGAACACTGTATACAACTGTATACATAATAGATAAATCTTAAAAAAAAAGAAAGGCAGAATTTTCTCTTCAAGATGAATCTGGTGGTAGGCTGGAGAGATGGCTCAACAGTGAAGAGCACACTACTCTTCCAGAGGACCCAGTTTCAATTCCCAGCACCCACATGGCCGCTCATAACAGTCCACACCTACAGTTCCAGGGGAATCTCGTGTCTTCTTCTGGCCTCCACAGGCAGCAGAATGGTACATGATAGTAGACATGCATACAGGTAAAATACCCATACATATTAAGTAAATAAATATAATTTTGAAAAGATGGGTTTGGTGGTTCTGTGGTTTTAAAGTCTTATTTGTTTGTCCTCTGTGTGTGTGTGTGTGTGCATGTGCGTGTGCGTGTGCATGTGCGTGTGCATGTGCGTGTGTGTGTTACTGGCCATTGACCCTAAGGCCTCGGGCATGCTAGCAAAGCCCTCTATCACTGACCTACATTTCTCTACTCCTAACGGACTGACTGGCCTCAGAGTGTCACTAAGCACACATATCAGGATGCTGCCTGCTTGTTCTCCAGATCACCTTGTATCTCACTGATCTATAGCCTTTAAGCTTTGACTCAGGCCACCTGGTTTGGGGTTTCCCTGGCCCCTTCCCACTTTCCGAAACCTCGCGTCTCCCTACCCGACTGTACTTCCCGAATGTCACTAGTAAAGCCCGCTGCTCATTTACCTCTAGTGTGTGGGCTCCAAGGAGAGCAGGGTGGGGAATTCTGACTATGCTGCTTGCTCAAGTATTTTGTACTTAGAACAGACTTAATGAGATGTCAAAAACAATCTAGAGGTTAAAGGTGCACCACAATGATAGGGCACCTCCCTAGCATAGCCTTGGGTCCCACCCCGTCCAGAATGATGACAGGGATGTCATAATGGCAGGATTTTAGTAGAATGGCAGAATTTGTGTTGGTGGCACAGGCCTTTAATCTCAGCACTCTGGAGGTTGGGTCCAAAAGAGCATGGATTGAAGTTAGTTTGGACTATATAATGAAACATTTCTAAAACAAGTAAAATTTTTCTTTCTGGAGTGTCTGCTCTCAAAAAAGATGTCATCCTTGGAGCTGGGGTGATGACCATACCTTGGCATTTGAGAGATTCAGTTTTCTAGAGGTTTCATGTACATCGTCTCATTTAATTATATCCTCCTAGCCAGCCACCATAGGCCATAGTAGGTATTTATATCCTCCCAGTTTTAAAGAAAAGCAAAGTCAGAGAGGATAAACCTCGTTCAAGGTCACATAGATTCTAAGTAACAGTCAAAATTTGAATCCAGGCTTGGATGACCCCAGATGCCGAATCTTTCCCTCTGCCATACACCTGGGTCCTGCCCTGAAGAGCCTATAGCAGGCCGGCTGGTTACATAAACCACCACACAAACTCTCACGTGCTAAGTGTAAACTGTGTCACATCTGACTCCACCCTTTCCCTTGCTCCCAAATCCAGCAGTCACCAAGTCCTGCTGAAACTGTATGGGAATGGCTTGCAAGCCTTCTCAAGTCCCCCTGGCTTCCAAACTAGTTCAAGCCCCTGTTAACACTCACGTGGATCAAGGCAATGGACTACATAATATCTACTTGCCTGTAGATATTACCTCTTCCACTGTGAGTCCTTAGCACTAACGGCAGCCTAGTGTAACTCCTGGGCTGAAAATGGTCTTTGGAAGCTGGGTCTGGTAGTGCATGCCTGTAATCCCAGTACTCAGAAGGACTGCAGAGAGTTCAAGGCCACCCTGGGCTACATTTTGACACCCTATCTCAAAAACAGAAAAGCTAGAGCAAGATATCTCAAAGGGTTTAGGCAATGCCCCAGACGCCTGCAAATCTGAGTCCCCAGGATCCACACGGTACAAGGGGAGAACCAACTCTTGCAAGCTGCCCTCTGAACTCTATCTACATGTACACTGTGGCATGTGTGCAAACAGAAATAAATGAATATAATTGAAACAATCAGGGCTGGGGAGACAGCTCTGTGAGTAAGGGCGCTTGAGTTCAAATCCCTAGCACCGATATAAAAAGTTGGGGAATGACCCTGTCTGTACCTGTCACAACAGCACTGGACGGCAAAGACAGGTTGAGGGCTCACTGGCTGGTCAGCTAGGCAAAATGGCAAATTTTGGGTCAGTATCAGACCTTTCTCAAGCCAATGAGGCAGAGGTCAACAGAGGAAGACAACCAGGGCTTGCCCTGGCCTCCACATGTGCACTGGGCACTTGTACCGACACATTCAAGTGCATGAAACACACACACACACTTAATGCCCTTTCCTTGACCTCTTCCCAACATCCCTCCAATCTGTTATGACTGAACTAAAATCCATCATCTCCTTTGCCCTTTCTGACTCACAAGACAAGAACAATCCTCTTCCTATTAATCAACATCCAGCGCCCCATGGTCAGCACCCACAAAACAAAGCCACAGGTACTCAGAGTCTTACAGCCTGGGCTGGGACTCTTGAGAGCACAGTCTATGAACACAGGTCTTCAAAAATAGACTGGTAAAGGGCAGGAGAGAGAGCTCAGCAGTTAAAAACACTTGTTCTTGAAGAGGACCCAGGTTCAAATCCCAGCATCCATATGGTGGCTCACAACCATCCATAACTACAGCTAAAGAAGATCCAACCAACACTATCTTCTGACATCCTAAGGTACCAGGCACACACGTGGTGTACAAGCAAAATATTCAAACACGTAAAATAAAAAAAAAATTTTTTAAATAAAAAAATGTATGGGTAAACCAGGTGTTGTGACTCAAGCCTGTAATCCCAGTATTCAAGAAGTTGAGGCAAGAAGATTGCCAAAAATTAGAGGCTACTTTTGGCTAACACGTATACGACCCTATCTCAGAAAAAAAAAAAAGCGAGATGCTCTACACAAACTGGTGTGTGCGCAGGCACGTGCATGCTGAGTGATCCAGGAAGCACAGAGGACAGGAGTCAAGAGACAAGATCTGGAGCCTGATGGCCTCTCACTACCCAGATGACTCAGGGAAAGTACTTAACTTCTCTGGGTTTCAGCGAGGCAGTCAGGATGCCAGAGTGAGGAACGGATGAGCGATGGTACAGAAAAGCCTGGGACCAGTGCCTGCACAGTTAGGGCAAGACAACTGTTTATGGCTACTGTTACCAGTGAAGCTGGGAGCAGGGGATTCTCTGCAGCAGCAGGGCTGATGGGGCTAACACAGGAATAGTTTCTACTCTGTTGCTATATATCAGGTCTATTTTCCATATGCTGCGGGAAGGTTTGTAGGGCAGGTCATTAGTCCCATCGTGGAGATGTGGAACAGGACACTCAGAGGAAGGTGTAGAGGTCCAGAACACTTCAGTTCCAGTGTAGGGCTCCTGTTCCTCATGGGCAGCCAGCCCCATCACCGTCACAGAGGATATGCCTTAAAGCCCTCCACTCCCCTACTGTAGACACAGTGCACAGTGTTGTACATAAACGGAGCGAGCATACAAGTGCATCTCCCACCTGCACAGGACCAGGCCCCAGAGGTTAGGGAAACCGGTTCCAAAGAATCTGCTTAGCAAGCAAATTCTGTCCAAAGCCCTTCCACTGTCACAGCGCAGGGCCCCACGTGCGTCACAGATACCCGCAAGGGGGTAGAGAGAGGGAGAGGGCAGATCAGGCGGAGGAGACTAAAACCTTCATGATCCTTTTTTCCATTTTAGTGACAAAAGTCACACCCGGCCTTTACGTAAACATGGCCAAGGAGCCACTCTGTCTAAACTCACTTCCCTTGTAGGCGCCAGGACTTTCCTCTCTATGGCCCTGGCATGCTGGGTGAGGGGCAAACACACAGACCATACAAAAGAAGAACAGTGCCACCCAACAACACCCATGCCTGCTGCTCTTGCTCTGGCTAACCTTTATCTCCCAACCTTCCCATAACATCTCCTGGGCAGCCTTTCACCCGTCACTGAAGCACACAGAAGGAGGGCACGCACTCGAAGCTTTCCACTGGTCTCCTGGGTCTGAGGCCCACATTGCCCTTGTCACGCCACCTCCTCCCAGCTCGACTCCCAGCCCAACAGCCCAGACAGGCTCCCACAACGTCACAAAGAATCCCATGGAGAATGTTGCAAACACGCAACCTTCCCCTTGCTTGGCCGCCCATCATCCCATAAACACATCTTGCATGTCCCACCCGGAGTCCCTTGCACCGGTGCCAGTGGACCATAGGCTTCATTTTCTCCTGCTCCTGCCGATGAGTAGACCTGACTTCCAGACATGCAGCCCCCATGGAACTTGCCCATCACAAATACACAAATGGACCACACCTCAGTAGGACTACAGAAATGGAACTTGGGAATGATGCCTTCTGATTCAAAGGTCCACAACTGCACTCTTCAAATGGGTACATCCACTCTGCATTCTGGTGTCCCCCATAACACGCACACACACACACACACACACACACACACACACACTACATGCAGCTATACAGAAAACAAACATTCATAAACATTCATATGTGCAACACAAAACTTATGTACAAGAAAACACATGCTGGCAAAAGTACACACACAACCCCAGACCACACTCAAGGTATCTGTCACCTAAAGCTACAGGGCCAAATCTTATAATTCTGGATCAATGAGTACCCCTCCTGGCTTTCTATCTCTGTGTATCAGGGAGGGCCCTAACAGACCCCTCGGTGTCAGACTAGCAAACGGTGGTACCCAGGAGGAGCAGTTTACCTTGCCCCACGGTACTGTAGGAGGAATAACCTCCAAGACTCACAGCAACAACAAGGCCCCGACGGCGCGGCGGTTCCGGGCCCCTGCTCGCACTGCGCACCCTGCACACCCCAACTCTGGGGCGCCCAAAGGGCCACCCCTCCCCCTCTCTGCCTGGCTCCTACGCCATCGCTCTTCCAGAAGCTTGCAGCGCTTGCCCAGGATCACACCCGCCCCACCCCACCCCCAACCTGCCCCACAGAGGGAGGGGGACACTGGGCTGCAGAATTTAACCATTCCTAAGTGGAGTGATTGAGACCCTCTCCATGGCCTCAGGAGACCAAGTCCCCCAGCCTCGGCTCTCTGGACGCCATACCCCGGCGCCCTTAAGTCGCTCCCCAGCGCCGTGCGCGCCCGGGGGCGGGGCCTATTCCAGCCCCCGACCCCTGCGCCCCTATATCAACCTGGAAGGGGAGCGGTTGCGGGGCGCGGCCCGGACCCCCGCGGCGCCGGGCAGCGGAGAGAGGGGGCCAAGGTAGTTGGCTCCCGTCGGCCCTAACCCTGCCCGGTCCGCCCCGGGGCCAACCTGACTGCGATGGCGCCGCGTCCGCCAGGCCGGGCTCATCACCGTGGCCGCCCCCGGCCACTCGGGTTTCGCCCTCCTCCAGCTCCGGCTCCAGATCCTGCCCCGGCCCCCCCAGCGCCCGGCCCCGGCCCAGCCCCGCCGCCGCCGCCGCCGCCACTGACATCATCGGCTCCCCCCCTCGCCCCGGTCCTCCCCCCCACCCCCACCCCCGGAAACAGTCCCCCCCCAGCGCCGCTGCTGCTGCCGAGAGGAAGCCAGCGCCGCGCAGCCGACACCGACCCTGGGCTCTGGTGTCCGATGGCCTTGGCCCGGTGGATCCCATACAGGGAACAAACGACAAACGACGCTGGGTGGACACCTTGCCGGGGCCGTGGCCGGGCTGTACTGCCCTCGACCACTCACTCCCTGGGAAGGGACTCACCCCCACGCCCGCCCTTCCCTCTGCACATTCTTCACTCAGGGGTGCACATTGCCTAGAGCTTGCTGCGTGTGCACATTTGCTCACCACCGACACGCACACCATACACGTTCTCCCGGGTCGCAAACATACAACACGGTAGACTCACAATTGGGCCCAAAGGAACCTACAGACCCACAGTCAGCATCCTCAGAGGGCAACAGCCCTGGGGCACCCCTTTAGGAATGCCTACGGACTTTCATCAGACCCACAGGCAAGGAAGGCCCTAATGTGGCATAATGGGGGCCTTACATGAATGATCACTAGTGCAGATAAACACAAAGCTTGGAATTTGATCTTAACCAGTGGAAATACCCACTTCTGGGTCCTTGCATATAAACGCAGGTCTTGGTGTTGGGTCTCCTGCACTAGCTGCACAGCATAAGCATAAGAAACGTAAGAAGCATAATACACTCCACACAAGAAACATATTCCTGAACTGTCAGTGGACATAATACACTCCACACAAGAAACATATTCCTGAACTGTCAGTGGACATAATACACTCCACACAAGAAACATATTCCTGAACTGTCAGTGGACATAATACACTCCACACAAGAAACATATTCCTGAACTGTCAGTGGACATAATACACTCCACACAAGAAACATATTCCTGAACTGTCAGTGGACATAATACACTCCACACAAGAAACATATTCCTGAACTGTCAGTGGACATAATACACTCCACACAAGAAACATATTCCTGAACTGTCAGTGGACATAATACACTCCACACAAGAAACATATTCCTGAACTGTCAGTGGACATAATACACTCCACACAAGAAACATATTCCTGAACTNCTGAACTGTCAACGGGACAATCCTACCGATTCCTCCCTGGTGTCGCAAAATTTAAAACTCTGGAGAGGTCTGGCATGATGCTACTAGGAGGCCAACCTGGTTTAAGCAGCAAGTTCCGGGTCAGCCAGGGCTATGTAATGAGAGCCCCACCTCAAAAAAAAACCAAGACAACCCCACCCTAAACAAAAACAAAAAACCATCAGGAGACAGAGGCGCAAACTCTCAGAATTCTCCCTGTGGAACATGGTGGCTCAGGTATTAAGGTAGCAGAGACAGGACGATCACTGCAAGCTCAAGGTGTAGCAAATTCCAAGTCCCTCAGACCTATACAAGCTGTACAGCAACCCTTTCTCTAAACAACAACAGCAACGAAACAAACAAACCCACCCCAACACCCCTTCAAACATCTGTGAAGCTAAGCTTGGTGCCCCATGCCTATAATCCCAAGCACTCTGGGAGAGGATAGCGTGAGACCAGATTTCAAGGCCAGATTCCACAGAGTACTAGTGAGTTTGAGACCAGCCTGGGCAAGACCTCGGATCAAAAGAGCAGGAACTGAGGGTTAGAAAAATTGCTCAGTGGTTAAGAGAGGGTAGTGCTCTTGCAGACGATCCAAGAGTTCGATTCCCAACGTCTAAGTCAGGCTATTCATACTGTCCTGTAACTCCAGCTCCAGGGGACAGGATATCTCTGGCCTCTGCAGGCACCTGCATTCATGCACATCCTGTTACACTGATGCACTCACACACAGTTAAAAATAAAATACAGCTTGGGTCTGGAGAGATGGTTCACACTGTGCACTCATGTGCACGTACCCACACAGGCTCTTTTTCTTTCTTCCCCCCCCCCCCCCCCCCCCCCCCCCTCCTCCCCCCCCCCCCCCCCCCCCCAGTCTCCCTGTAGCTCTGGCTGGCCTGGAATTCATTCTATCACTCTGTAGATCAGGTTGGCCTGAAACTCACAAAGCTCTTCTTCTGCTCCCCAAATGCTGGGATTTGAGGTATGGGCCATCACGCCTGCCCACACACTAACTTTTTTCAAAAAAGAAACTGAGACTATAAAGACGGTTCAGTGGTTAAGAGCACTGACTGCTTGTCCAGGTCCAACTCTCAGAACTCACATGGCGGCTCACCTTCATTTCGAGGGATATGCCCCCTTTTCTGACCTCCAAGGGCACCGAACACACATATGGCACACAGACATACATGTGGGCAAAACACTCACGCACACAAAATAAAACTAAAAAAATAGGCATAAAGGCCGGGCGGTGGTGGTGCATGCCTTTAGTCCCAGCACTCCAGAGGCAGAGGCAAGCGAATCTTTGTGAGTTCGAGGCCAGCCTGGTCTACAGAATGAGTTCTATGATAGCCAACGCTAAACAGAGAAACCTGTCTCTAAAAACCAATAATAATAATAATAAAATAAAGAAACAAGAGAGAGATAGCTCACCTGATAAAGTGCTATCAAACAAACATGAAATAAAGACCTGGACTCAAGAAAAAAGCTGGGAAGATGGCTCGGAGTTTAAATCTAAAAGCCCCACATAAAGCCAGGCATAGTATTGGCTTTTCTAAACCCAGCTCCCCTCCAGTGTTGAGATGGAAGGCAGAGTCGGTAGGATCCCCAGGAGCTCTCAGGCCAGCATTCTGACATTTGCTGAAGCACACAGCAAGACTCAGACTAGGCAGAATGTAAGGACAGACACCTGAGCTGTTCTCTGACCTCTGCACGCTCACCAGAACGAGAGAGAGAGAGAGAGAGAGAGAGAGAGAGAGAGAGAGAGAGAGAGAGAAGCCAAGCATGCAATGCTCAAAATCATAAAGTGGGGGAGATGGAGGCACGTGGATCCCTGGGGTTTTTTGTCCAGTGAGCCTAACCTACTAGGCAAGTTTTGGTCAACGAAGAGACCCTGTTTTTTAAAAAAAAAATTGAGAGGTAGAAAGAACCTGAAGAAAAATACCCAATGTCACCCTCTATGTGTCATGTATGGACATGAACACACAAACACGTACAGAAACAAAAAAAAAAAATACAACCCTTATAAAATGAGGCAAAACATTAACCAAAAGCAGTTTTATTACAGAACTGAGAGAGGGAGAGAGAGGGAGAAGGAAGGAAGGTGAGAGAGAATGAGAATGAACCTGGAGTCATAGCAACAAGGATAGAAAACAAGCCTGGGACAGTGGTGTACACCTGTGATCTGCCCAGACAACACAGCGAATTCCAGAACAGCCTGGCCTACAGAAAGATTTTGTCTCGTTCCCCCTTATCCCCCAAACTCACACCAAATCAAAACCACAAACCAACCCACAAAATAAACAGTAACAACAGACCAGAGTTGGAATTTATGAGAAAACAGTCCCTCCCCACCCCCTCAGGAAGGTTCCAGGGAAGAACCTTACCCCCACTCCAGCCAAGTCACAATGGCTGGAGCTCTGAAGGGGACCCCAGGAGGAGAGGAGGAAGTCCAAAAAGAGACGGTGAGTATCGGGACAAAGGGGCAACGGTCAGCATCCTCCTCTAAACTTCCCAGTGGTCCTGGAGACGCCTACAAGTGAAATTCATAATGATATACCCAGAAGTCCCGGGAGCCTGTGACATCATATGGATACATAACATTTGTAGCTAACTCCCTTTCCTCTAACGAACAGAGTATCCCTGGGTCCTCTGTTTTCTCCCAGGAACATGATGCTCCCAGAGACACAGGATGCTGCAAGACTTCCCCCACCTGCTTCCTGCTTTACATGCTCAAGGCCCACATTGTACCACCTCATCCATCCTTAAGCCCTTTCTAGCTCCCATGAGCTCCCATAAGGGTCCACGACCTCAACCTGGCACTCACCTTACCCCATGTTGCGCAGGCTGTGGTTGCCCTCATGTCCAAGCTCCTTTCTTCCTAACAGGATGCCAGCCATCCCTATTTCAACTTACCTGACTTCACCCAGCCATCACCGCCCTCCACTCCAGTCAGCTTCCTCTCGAACTCTCACCATCGCTGCAGGCCCTCTGATGTCACCAAGGGCCTGTTTGTGGCCCTGCTGGGTGGAGGCCTGTCTGCTGGCTTCGTGGGCCCGTTCTCCCGTATGGCTTACCAGACCTCCCACTTGCCCTCGCTGGAGCTGCTCATCTTTCGATGCCTCTTCCACCTCCCCATTGCCTTGTTACTTAAGTTTCGTGGTGATCCGCTGCTAGGACCTCCTGATGTCCGGGTCCGGGCCTTCCTTCACGCCATGCTCAATGTCCTCAGCATTGGATGTGCTTACAGAGCGGTGCAGGTGGTGCCTGCTGGCAACGCAGTCACTGTTCGCAAAGGCTCTTCCACCGTGTGCTCTGCCCTCCTAGCACTCTGTCTGGAGAGCCAAGGTCTCAATGGCTACGCCTGGTGTGGCCTGTTCGGCAGCACCCTTGGACTAATCATCATCGTGGGACCTGGACTAGGCACATTGCAAGAGGGGACGACAGGCCTCTACACGGCCCTGGGCTACGTACTGGCTTTCCTGGGAGGTCTGGCACTGTCACTGGGGCTACAGGTTTACCGCTCTCTACACTTCCCCTCCTGCCTACCAACAGTGGCCTTCCTATTCGGCCTGGTGGGGTTAATGGTCTCTGTACCAGGCCTCTTTGTGCTGCAGACACCTGTGCTACCCCAAGACCCTCTGAGCTGGAGCTGCGTGGTGGCAGTGGGGCTCCTTGCGTTGGTTTCCTTTGTGTGTGTGAGCTATGCAGTCACCAAGGCCCACCCTGCCCTGGTATGTGCTGTCCTGCACTCTGAGGTGGTGGTGGCCCTGATGTTGCAGTACTACGTGCTCTATGAGACTGTGACACCTTTTGACATCATGGGAGCGGGGGTTGTGCTGGGCAGCATTGCCGTCATCACTGTCCAGAACCTCAGCTGTGAGCAGGAAGGGCAGATGGAGGAGTGAAATCAGACTTGAGAGCCTGGGGGAGGGTGGGACAGGGGCAAATAGAAGGAGAGACCGGAATAAAAATCATGGAAGAACAAACGTCTCCAAAAGAATTGGTGTGGAGCCAAGGAGATGGCTCAGCAGGCACAGGCTAGGAAGCCTCGTGGGAGAGGAAGAGAGCCGACTTCTACAAATGATTCTTTCCACAGGCGCGCTGTGGTATGGTCACACACAATAAAAATGTAAAAACAAAACCCGAAAGGGATACCCTGGGATTCAAGGGTGGCTTAGGACTCGATGGAGAGGGAACACCTGAGGTACCGGAAGCCAGCAGGGCATGGAATTTAGGCTGGGGTCAAGGGATAAGGACATAGTTAAGCAGTGAGGTCTCAGATCCAAGGGACGACTGGTAGTGGTCTATGGTGAATAATCCCACAAACAGGAAAGAGCGTTAGGAATGAAGTGCGCAGGTTGTCAGGCAAACAGCCAGCTAAGGCTCTGGGGCTCTGGGGGAGGGGAGGATTCTTTTTCCCTTGGGCTCCATGTCCGGGTGGTGACGTAACACTGACATCAAACGTGGATCACTGTGGCCGAGCAGCTGGTATCGTCTCTGCACTGGAGAGAGTGGAAACACGCCCTTATTGGAGACTCCTTGAGACCATCAGCCGCCTCCTTATTTCTGAATTTCCTAAAAGCTCATATTTCTTTTTGACCTCAAACTCCCCAGGATTTTTCCTTTTCTGCCCCGCCACTAATCTGCTTTTCTCGGACAGACAGACGCGGTCGCGTGATCTGCGGATCTCGGGTGGCAGCCATCCTTACTTCCAGAACAGGCCTTTAGCTTTCCAGCTGGAGATCCGAGGCCAGGGCTCCGTGCAGCTCTCCATTAGAGGACAGGAGAGGCCACCCCACCCCGGGAGGCCTCACGACAAGTATCAGTTTCCAATCGCTCGGACTCGCCATCTTGTTTGTCTTGTGCATAATCCAGCGAAAAACTGAATATTCATGACCGAGGGCCGGCCCGTCCCTCCCCCCCCCCTCCCCGGAACACACTCCGGTGGCCTCGACAGGCCCCGCCTTCCTTGCCGACGCGTCGAGCAAACCATTTCCCAGGTGTGTGGGGGGCGACATTAATGAGGCACTTCGGCTGCAAAGGAGCCTGTACTCCAAAGCCGAGTAAAGGTGGCCTTACTCTGTCCTCGATTCTGCGAGCCCTAAGCTTGAGTGCCCGGGAAATCGGCGGGGAGGGAGGCGACAGGATCGGAAAAATTCTCCTCCTCCTGTCACGTCAAAAGAACACCCAACCAGGGAGCCCGAGCCAGAGGGTCAACAACTCCCGCGCGCGCGCTCCGTGCTGGCCCGTGCGGGCGGCCCCGTAGCGCAAGGGAGGGCGGGAAAGGAAGGGGCGGGACGCAGGGGCGAGTCTATAAAAGGCGTCATTCAGCCAGTTCTCTCCTCAGAAGCGCCGAGAGCGCGGCTGGGACGGTTGAAGAAGAAGGTGGCTCCCGGAAGGGGAGCGACAAACTGCTGTACCTCTGCCGTTCAGGATCCCGGTTTCTTATTTATTCGTTACCCCTTTTCTTCTTTCTCCTTCCCGAAACCTCCTCCTCTCCTCCCTTCTTTTGTTTCCTTTTTGGGAGCCGACAACTCCCCGGAAAGGGAGAAAAGGCTTTCTTTCTGCCCTTCTCCTCCCCGCCTTTTCCCCTCCCCCTCCTTCCCCTCCCCCGGCCTTTTCCTCCCTACTCCGGGAGATCTTTCCCGGTGGCCGCCCGGACGGGGTCTGAGCGCTTAGGCGGCGGTGGCGCAGGCTTTTTGTAGCGAGATTTGCGCCTGCGCAGCGCGACTGCCTCGCCATGCACGGGGGTGGCCCCCCCTCCGGGGACAGCGCATGCCCGCTGCGCACCATCAAGAGAGTGCAGTTCGGAGTCCTGAGTCCAGATGAGTTGGTAAGTTGTTCTGCCCTTCCCTTTCTCGTGCCTCCGGGTGAGCCTGGGAGGATGGGCCAATGACGCTGATGCCGCGTGGAGTCCAACCTTCAGGTTCCCAAAATTAAATTATACCAGGATTTAAACAATTTAGTGCAATGTCTCTGATGGGTGTTTGGCTGGACAGAGAAAATGATTTCGTACTTTAGAATTGCCGCGTTTTAACGAGAAAAGAGTCCAGGATCGGGTAGTTGAAAGTTTGGAGCAGGGCTGTGGTGGCTCACGCCTTTAATCCCAGCACTCAGGAGCAGAGGCAGGTGGATTTCTGTGAGTTCGAGGCCAGCCTGGTCTACCAGAGCTAGTTCCAGGACAGGCTCCAAAGCTACAGAGAAACCCTGTCTCGGAAAACAAAAAGAAAAAAAGAAAGTTTGGATAGAAAGTGGATTCTCAAGTTGTTTTTCTTACCCCTTGCACAAATATTCAGCACTCTGGTCTGTGACAGCCCCCAGGCACTGGAACACACAGCTGAACATATGACAAGAAAAGGACCCTATCTTCTAGAACATTTTCTGTGGGAAAACAACAGAGAAGACAAAATAAGAATTAAAAGAATGACCAAAAATAGTTACGTGCCCAGAATAAAGTGAAACAAGGAAGTTCTGTAAAAAGCACTGAAATTGAATGGTGTCAGAAAAGGTGACATTACCACAGTAGTGAAGAGTGTTGGTCATTGAAGCCATGGGTTCAGGGGGAAGGGCTTATTTTTAGGTAGAGGAAACAAATGTTATGGAACTGAGAGAGAAATAAAATTGTACTCTAGAGACTGAAAAGCCAGTGTTGGGGCAGGGTTGTGGATAAGAAGAGTGTTTCAAAGCATGCTGAAGAAGCTTGGGATATTTTAAAGTATGCTAGAGTCAGAATTTCTATTCCAGTAGGAAGCCATTGGATAATTATAAAAGAATGACAACGGTTTTTGTGCAGATAACACGTACAGTAGTTGTGTACAGAGCTGATGGGAAGCGGATGAAGATAGACATAACCGTGTCCATAGAGGGACAGCTGCTTTTGCAGACGTGAGCTTCTTCCTGCTGAACAACTAACAGGAGAGAATAGAATTAAATGGTTGTGTTGGGGAAAGGGCTCAACTATGACAGAACTAACAAAAACAAGAAAAAAAAACCTGCATTGGCTCTTGGAACACCCAAACCACAGAGTAAATTCCAGGTCAATATTTAAACAAAGTAATAAGACATCAAAAAAAAAAATAGAGATTTTTAGGGGAGCTGCTACCAGAGAATGAACACTATATTAATAAATAAAATAAAGGCAGATCTTATAGTGAGCTGATAAGCTAAGCGTTGTACATGAAAGAGAAAGGCAGATATGAGCCACTCTGTTTATCAGAGACTCTTGACAGAGCTTAAAAACAGACAAAACTGGGAAACAATTTGCAATGTGATGGGCAGGGTTTGATTTCTCCGTTTTTCCTGGGGCTCAGAGTCAGCCTTTCTTGTCATGCTATGCCAGTGCTCTGACCATTTAGCTGCATGTGTCCCCAGCTCTTGCTGTTGAGTCCGGGCCGCCTTGGCAAGGTGGTTCTCCTGCCTAAGCTTTCTGGGTACTCAGAGGATAGGCGTACACCACCATACCTGGTTTGGGTAGGTTTTTCCCCACAATTAAAAAAAAAATTAGACTGGGTGAAAAAAATGTTTTGAGCAGTTAGGAGTGTTTGTTTGTTTGTTGCTCTTGTAGGAGGACCCCAGTAGCGGCTCACAAGCGCTCGTAACTCCAGTTGTAGCGGATCTCATACCTTCTTCTAACCTGTGGGCACTGTATGCACTTCATATGCAGGCAAAACGCTAATACAGATACTTTTTTTTTTTTTTTGATTTTTCGAGACAGGGTTTCTCTGTGGTTTTGGAGCCTGTCCTGGAACTAGCTCTGTAGACCAGGCTGGTCTCGAACTCACAGAGATCCGCCTGCCTCTGCCTCCCGAGTGCTGGGATTAAAGGCATGCACCACCACCGCCCAACACAGATACAATTTTTTAAAAATAATTTTTGTTATTTTCTTTTTTTGAGACAGGGTTTCTCTGTAGCTTTGGAACACATCCTGGTACTAGCTCTTGTAGTCCAGGCTGGCTTCGAACCGTACCTACCCATTGACCACTGATCTGCAGAAGCCCTACCTCAGTCTCCCGCAGTTGTTGAACAAGCTAGTGAGATCTTTTCATCATGTCCCTTTCCTTAATGGAGTTTTTTCAGGAGGATCCAGACTCCTAGTCTCACCTTTAGATTATGTCCTTGCTTGCTTCTCTATCTTCTTACCAGTCTCCTGGTAAATTAAATTTTTAGGAATATTTTTTAGATTTGTTTATGTTATGTGTATGAATGTTTGCCAGCATGCAAACATTTGTGTACCTGGTGCCTGGGAAAGTCAGAGAGGACATTGGATCTCCGGGAACTGGAGCTATCATGTGGGTGCTGGGAACCAAACCTGGGTCCTCTGCAAGAGTAACAAGTGCTTTTAGCAACTCTGCTGTCTCTCTAGTCCCTTTCCTTTCCTTTTGTCACTTGACCTGCTTAACACTGCAAGCTTATTGCTTCAGGGGCTGTTTAACCATTGTCTCTGCTGCTTGAAATAACGTTGTCCAGCCCTCTTACATGCCTTGTTCTTCATGTCAATATGTTCAGTGTTTCAATGTTTACCCTGACTATTTAAATAGCATCCTTCATTCTGTAACCCTTACACTGTTTTACTTTAATAGACTGTCACTCTTGGAAGATTTTTTTTTTTTAACTTCTTGTTCACTGTTGAATGCTGTTACCCAGCATTTTCAGTAGTTCCTGCTGCTGACTGGCATGTCATTAAAATTATCTGGGTTAAAAAGTGAATAGTTGTACAGATTACATTTCAAAGGATTATTTATTTTAACATTTGAAAATGACAATTGTAAGTCATATAAATATTTACTAAAAGGAACCCTTCTTGAATAACTTAGGTCCTATCTTTATAATAGAGCAAGAGTATCCTAATAGGCTAAATCCAGTGTCCCTAAACTGCTGTCACATTTGAGACAGCCTTAGCAAAGTCATAGGGCATAGGGAATTGTTCTGCCCTTGGAGAGAATAGGTGCTCTGTGAACTGCTAATTGCACACGGTTCAGTTTCAACATTAGGTGGCGCTGGATCCCTTTGAATGACATCATATCTTTGTGAAGCCAAATTTTTTGTCTGGTTTAGTTTTTTTGTTTGTAATTTTATTTAATTATATGTGCATATGTCAGCATAGGGCTGTGTGTATACTAGTGCTGGTGCTCAGAGGTCAGAGGTGTCAGATCCCCTGAAGCTGTATTCAAGTCTTTTGCCAAAAAAGAAAGAAAGAAAAAGACTTGTGTGTTTGTATATGCCGTGTTAATGTGGGATGCCTGGAAAGGCCAGAAATGGTGGTGGATGCTCTGCAGCTGGTGTTAGAAGTAGTTGTGCGCCAGCAGACGTAGGTGCTGGGAATCCAGCTCAAGTCATCTGGAGTCATATTTTATGGGTTTGGTTTTGTGTTTTCGAGACAGGGTTTCTCTGTGTAACAGTCCTGGCTGTCCTACAACTTGGTTTGTAGACCAGGCTGACCTCGAACTCTTAGAGAGCTCACCTGCCTCTGCCTCCTGAGTGCTGGGATTAGAGATGTGCTCCGCCACGCCTTGGCTCTCTAATATATGTTCTTAAACACTGAGTCATCTCTCCAGCTCCAGTTTTTTTGTTTTTGAGACAGTGTTTGGATCTGAGTGCTGGGAGTACAGGCATATGCCACTGTGCCTATACCACAAAACTGCAATTTTAACAGGTACTAAGGACTAGCAGATTTGGAGCAAGAAATAAGGGTGGTGTTTGCTTATCTGACCCCAAGAATTGAGAAGTTCTAAGTACCTAAGAGTTGTATGTAAGAAATTTTGGTTATTTAGGGAAAAATAAAATAAAACTATTCTTTGTTATTTTATTAGACAAAGTTTAGATTTCTTTCCTTAATGGATGGTTCTTTTTTGGTGGTAGTATGAGCAGGTATGTGGAAAAGTTACTTACCAGTAAGCAAGATGCACCCTCCTGTTTATTTTTCCTTTGGAGACTTGTTCTCACAGTGTGGTCCTGGCTGATCTAGAACTCATTACATAACCAATAACCCAGGCTTGCCTCAGACTTGTCTTCCTGAACACTACGATAACAAGGAATGAGCCATTATGCCTGGCCTTTTACCTCTTTTTAAAAGATATAGCACTTGGGGCTGGGGAGATGACTCAGATGGTAAGAACTTGGGTTTCAGTTCCGAATAACCATAAAAACCAGGAATAGAAGGTGTGCAGGTCTCGTGAGTTCAAGGGGAACCAGGGCTACTTAGGTACTTTTTTTTTTTTTTGAGGGCCTGTCTCAAAAAAAAAAAAGTGATTATCATTGATTTATCATAGTAAGGGAGAGTGGGATGATGTGTTTAGGACTAGAGAATACTGGGTTTTATTTCTGCTGACTACTTGAAACTGAAGGCGTGGGTAAATAGCTTCATGCAGTATAAAGTTTCTAGTATCTAAGAGATAAGAATTCGTTCTTAGGAGGTCAGTGGTTAGTATTAAAGAAACAAGTTTTGTCTATATCTCAGTGTTAACACTCAATGAAGATTTTATTAAATTGAGCTTTATACCTCTAGGATATGGCGGACCAAAGCTTGACTAATTTGAAAGTCTGATCTTCATTGTGTGAGAGGCTACTCAAGATTGTGTTGACCACCATAGCTACTTTCAAACCAGGAATATAATGCGGCCTTGTGACAGTGCTTGCCTAGCATGCTCGCAGCCCTGGGTTTGACCCCAGGACTACATCCTCCCCGTACATACATAGGGACAGAAAAAAGACCTTAGCTTCTGAGCTCCCCTAGATCTCTCACTAAATTGGCTCCATCTTTCTTGGGACTTGAGCTCTTCATTTCTGTTCTGCCGGCCTGTACAATATCTGGTTGTCCTTGCATACATCCAGACTTCTACCTGGATATGGAAGTGTTCAGGCAATTTAGGCCCTTGGGGAGGAAGAGTAAGTAGCATACATAGGGATTAAAGAGGGGACTCAGACTCCAAGAGCCTCGTTCCTCCTTAGGAGCTGACTTTAAGAGTTCACAAACGTATCTTGACAGCATACCTAGGCAGGTGCAGAGAGGTTTTGCCCGGGCCTCAGATAATCATTGGTCTGATTTCAGCTTGGGAGAAGAAAAAGACATTATTTTGGGTTTGGACACCCCATTTACCTCTTGAAGCATCTTACATCTCTTTTTTATGTTACCTCCTGTGGATGTCACAGTGAGATATGGGACAGACACAGAAATGTCTGGGATTCAAGTGCTAGCTAGAGGCAGGTGGACTGGGCTTGGTGATGCACGTGTAATCTTAGTTTTTGGAAGAAAGAAGGGAGGATCTTGAGTTTGAGGCTAGCATGAGCTACATAGCAATAGAGCCAAGACTCATACTCTGTTAGGAACACGTACCAACTCACCCTCTCCACCCCTCGTGCACACACAGTGGCTGGACATGCTTTGGGGATATGGGACTCAAGTTTAGTATTTCAGAGTTTTAGCTATGCTGACGTTACCATTTCTTTCTTATATATACAGTGTTCTGCCTGCATGTAGGCCTGCAGGTCAGAAGAGGGCACCAGATCTCATTATGGATGGTTGTGAGCCACCATGTGGTTGCTGGGAATTGAACTCAGGATCTCTGGAGCCAGTGCTCTTAACCTCTGAGCCCCTGACATTCCCATTTCATACTGGGTTAAAGAAGTGGTATGGGATTTTCTTAGGCTTTAGTGCATAACTCTGTAGCTCTGCAAACTAGGACTTGTACTTAGTTGGTGCTGGCTTTTCTTTTGTGCAGAAACGGATGTCTGTGACAGAGGGTGGCATCAAATACCCAGAGACAACCGAGGGAGGTCGCCCCAAGCTTGGGGGACTCATGGATCCACGGCAGGGAGTTATTGAGCGAACTGGCCGCTGCCAAACATGTGCAGGTAAGTGCTAGCTCAGAGGGATCCACAATGGGACAGTTTTAGATCCTTAAAGCCAGGAATGGGTGACTACCTAAAAGTCTAGTCTCTTGAGGTCATTGGGAACTTTTAAGAAAGCGCTCGGTATGTTTTTCCACAGGTAACATGACTGAGTGTCCTGGCCACTTTGGCCACATCGAACTGGCCAAGCCTGTGTTTCATGTGGGTTTCCTGGTGAAGACAATGAAGGTTTTACGCTGTGTCTGCTTCTTCTGCTCCAAACTGCTCGTGGATTCCGTGAGTAGGGCATGATCCCTAGTCTAGGAGGGCAGTTGCTAGCTGGGGCAGGGGGCAGCTCCAATTGACCCTGCTCTATTCTTTGCCCAGAACAACCCAAAGATTAAGGACATCCTGGCCAAATCTAAGGGGCAGCCCAAGAAACGGCTTACACACGTCTATGACCTTTGCAAGGGCAAAAACATCTGTGAAGGTGGAGAAGAAATGGACAACAAGTTTGGAGTGGAGCAGCCTGAGGGGGATGAGGATCTGACCAAAGAGAAGGTGACAGAGACTGGCTAAGACCGGGAAAGCTGTTGTGAGAGAAAGACACGTGCTGTAGAGTCACATGGAGGGCTTTTTATTGGGGGGAAAAGGGGAGAGGGGAGACCGGCAAGAGGCAGAGAAAGTGAGAGACACAGAAGGTGGGCAGGCCCACCTTTTGAAAGGGAACACAGTGCATGTGCACAGGAGGTACTCTTAGTGGCTGCAGCTGAGGGCATATCCTGTCAGGACCCTAAGGGCAGGCCAGTACAGATGCCTGAATACTAGCAAAAGTAGCTGTAGAAAACGGGGTGAAATGACACAGAACTGTGGGATGTACTGGCCTACTGTGGCAGGAATGGCCCAGTCCTAGGTTCTGATGGATCTTCTTTGGAAGGGCCATGGTGGCTGTGGGCGGTACCAGCCACGGATCCGGCGCTCTGGCCTGGAGCTGTATGCTGAGTGGAAGCATGTTAATGAAGACTCTCAGGAGAAGAAGATCTTGCTGAGTCCAGAGCGAGTCCATGAAATCTTCAAGCGCATCTCAGATGAGGAGTGTTTTGTTCTGGGCATGGAGCCTCGCTACGCCCGGCCTGAGTGGATGATTGTCACGGTGTTGCCTGTGCCTCCTCTCTCCGTGCGTCCTGCTGTGGTGATGCAGGGTTCTGCCCGCAACCAGGTCAGCTGTTCTTAGGACTGCATCGTGGGTGCATGGCTAGGTCTCTGGGGAAGGAGCATGTGACTAGAAGATGGTTTCAGATACACCAGTGGCATAGCATGTGTGTGTAAAGAGCCAGGTGGACCAATCTAAGTTTGAAAATATTTTGCCACTTGATAGCTGTGTGACCTTTAAAGTTGCCCTTTCATGATCGCTCAGGGTATTGTAAGGGGAGTCACGCTGTGTATCTGGCACGTGTGTGCTGAGCACCCAGGTAGTGGTAGCCTGACTGATGATGCTGATTTCTTGCTTCAGGATGATCTGACTCACAAACTGGCTGACATCGTGAAGATCAATAATCAGCTGCGGCGAAATGAGCAGAATGGTGCGGCTGCCCATGTCATCGCAGAGGATGTGAAGCTCCTCCAGTTCCATGTGGCCACCATGGTGGACAATGAATTGCCTGGCTTACCCCGTGTGCGTCTACACACTCTTGCCCTATGGATTGGAGCCAGGGTGGGGGCCAGGATGAATAAATATACTCGAGGAGAACCCAGTACTGACTGCCTGGGTATCCCTTCCTGTGTTTTCTTATAGGCCATGCAGAAGTCTGGCCGTCCCCTCAAGTCCTTGAAGCAACGGTTGAAGGGCAAGGAAGGACGGGTTCGAGGGAATCTAATGGGCAAACGAGTTGACTTCTCAGCCCGTACTGTCATCACGCCCGACCCTAACCTATCCATCGACCAAGTTGGTGTGCCCCGCTCCATTGCTGCCAACATGACCTTTGCAGAGATTGTCACTCCCTTCAACATTGACAGGTGTGCTTTAGTCCATTAACCTTGCTAAGGTGGTGGGGCACTTGTTCTCAGAAGTGTGCCTTCCTCATCTGGAAGAGACAGCTTGGAGTGAGGAGGGGTGTTGAGGTTTGTGTTTGGCATCCACTTGTGGTTTGGGGATGAAGGCGGGAATGGGAGCTTTTTGGAAAGTATTTTGTTCATTTCATACTTCTTTTCTTCTTAGACTTCAGGAATTAGTACGCAGGGGAAACAGCCAGTATCCAGGAGCAAAGTACATCATTCGAGACAACGGTGATCGAATTGACTTGCGTTTCCATCCTAAACCCAGTGACCTGCACCTGCAGACTGGCTATAAGGCATGTAATAGGCTATGGCCCTTCATTAATCACCAGGGCCGGAAGCCTCCTATACAATGGGAACTGGCTTAGATTTAAGCTTGTTGAGTGGTGGTTGTTTTAGGGAGGTGGGAGTGCTTTGGGTTTTGGTTTTGGGTTTTTTTTTTTTTTTTTTGTAAGATTTATTTATTTATTATGTATACAACATTCTGCCTCGATGTATGCCCGCACGCCAGAGGAGGGCGCCAGATTCAGTACAGGTGGTTGCTGGGAATTGAACTCAGGATCTCTGGAAGAGCAGCCAGTGCTCTTAACCTCTGAGCCATCTCTCCAGCCCTTTTTTTGAGACAGGTTTTCACCATATACCCCAGGCTAACCTGGACTTCCAATTTTTTGTTTTTGTTGGAGGGGCGGGGGTTGTTCTGTGGTTTTTTTTTTTTTTTTTTTGGTTTGGTTTGGTTTTCTCAAGACAAGGTTTCTCTGTATAGCCCTATCTGTCCTGGAATACTCTCTATAGACTAGGCTGCTTGGATCTGTCTGCCTCTGCCTCCCCAGTGCTGGGATTAAAGGAGTGCACCCCCACTGCCAGGTAGCTGACAGACTCAAATTCATGTTGCTCCTGCCTTAGGCTCCTTAGTGTTGGTGTGTGCCACTACTGATACTGGGTGCCTTTTGTTTTAAAGGGGTGTGCTGCCAGCCATTGACATCCCTAGTAAGCTGATGTTGGACCAGAGCTGTACAAAAGGGGTGTTTGATATGTTTTCAGTGAAATATAGCATACTATCATCTCTAGTCTATGAGAGACTCTAGGTCCACTGTCCCTTCATTCTAGTGTACCTCCTTACTGAGCCCTGTTCTGTACCCCCCCTCCAGGTGGAGCGGCACATGTGTGACGGGGACATCGTTATCTTCAATCGTCAGCCAACTTTGCACAAAATGTCCATGATGGGGCATCGAGTCCGCATCCTCCCTTGGTCTACTTTTCGCTTGAATCTTAGGTCAGTTCTGTACCTGAGGGGAATCAGACTGAGATGGGAACAGGCCAGGCAATTCTATCAATTGTAACTGAAGACATAGTCCCAACTCGGAGTTCCTTCTCTCTTGGCTACAGTGTGACAACACCATACAATGCAGACTTCGATGGGGATGAGATGAATTTGCACCTGCCACAGTCTCTGGAGACACGGGCAGAAATCCAGGAGTTGGCCATGGTGCCTCGAATGATTGTCACCCCCCAGAGCAATCGACCTGTCATGGGTATTGTGCAAGACACGCTCACAGCAGTACGCAAATTCACGAAGAGAGATGTCTTCCTGGAGCGGGTATGTGATCCAAATGGAAGCTTTGGTGGGCAAAAGGATAAAAGGGTCTTAAAGTATGAAAGAGCCAGGGAAGGAGAGCTATAGTGGTTTTGTTGTTTTGTTGGGGTTTTTTTTTTGTTTGTTTGTTTTGTTTTTTGAGACGAAATTTCTCTGTAGCTTTGGAGCCAGTCCTGGAACAAGCTTTTGTAGACCAGGCTAGCCTCGAACTCACAGAGATCCGCCTGTCTCTGCCTCCCGAGTGCTGGGATTAAAGGCGTGTGCCACCACCACCACCAGTTGTTTTTTTTTTTTTTTT